CATTTGAGGATGGTATCAATGGTATGGACATCGTACGCAGTATAGCATGTAGCGTGAATGTTGTTAGCTACGCAGTGCTACGCTTTCGCTGGGTAGCGCTACGACTACGTTGTGCGTAGCAGTGAATGGTTCGAGGGATGGATGGTGTAGTCGTAGCAAATTCGTAGTGAGAACGTAGCGAGCGTCGATACGCTTTCCTACTAGGCGCTACTAGTATGTTGCGCGTAACACGGTTGGCAATTTTTTTGTAAAATGGCAGTTAACTGTTACACAACGCAACGCTAAAATTACAAACACATTCGACGTACACAAAATATTTTTTATAAAGGCTAGGAAAGCTTTTGTCTAGTTTATGCTAGTCCGAATTAAAATATTGCAATATCTCAAAAACTAGCTAAAAAATATGAAATTTTCACTAGCCCCTACTAAACCTACATCCCACATAAAAATATTTTTACTGAATTTGGATGAACATGATGTTGCACGAAATGCGTCTCTTAAAAAAATACAAACAAATTTTAAGTGACAGGAAAGTAAGGCATTTGCTACTCTTTCGCTGGGACGTAGCATATGGCTACGGCTACGTTATACGTAGCATCGTAGGCCGCATAGCATTTATAGCTGGGGCGAAACTAGTGATGTAGCACTTTTCCTAGTAAATTTTAGGCTATGTGAAGAAGCAATAATATCAGATCAAAAATCTACAAAAATAAGTTAAATCTAGTCGCATTATCCATATCGTTATTACAAATATTCTATATTAACTTTGATTTAAAGTCGTTGGTAATTTCACAGTAGACTTTTGGTAAGTAATTCATTACCTTTCGTAGAGTATTGATTAGTTATAGAAGAAGTTATTTCTTGCCGCAGGGACGCTCTGGCCCCTTCTCCAACAAGACCTAGTAAAGCCTAGCAATAGAACGGTGAGTTCATTGAGTTTTTTATTGTAACCAGGACTGTAATATTTAGGTACTGTAGTCCTCTTACGTGTCGTTGACACGGCGTACTGAAACTTCTGAATTCAGTTGACGTAAGGCATTTTATATCACTTTTTTCATTTGGTGTTCGCTCATGTGTTCCAGGTTAAAGTTTAAACTGAATCTTTGAGATGTGTGGTTATTATTTTTTATGCATCTTTGACAATATATATAATATATATACTTTCGGCACCAATATATAACAAATCTTACTTGATTTGTTATATATTGGTAACAAAACTACGTCCAATAATCGGCTACTGAATACTTGTTCCTAAAATAAACAAGTGTTCAGTAATATCTGACAGACTGCCTCTGACAGATAGACAGACTGCCTCGTTGGCCGAGTGGTCGCAAGTGCAAAAGGGGGCTAGGGTTCGGTTCTTGGGTCGGGCAAAGAATTACTTGGTTTAAAAAAAAATCTCAGTATTAGCACGGAGTCTGGAATTGTGCCCGGTATATGGCAATAAGCTCCCCCCTATTACATGGGACTCATAACATAAATAGTGAAAAGTGGGTGTTACATTGTAGTGGCATAATGTGCACCTCTGCCTACCCCTTCGGGGATAAAAGGCGTGATGTTATGTTAAGTAATATTTGTCTAGCCTATTCATTGAAATGATTAACGGAGTTTCTGTTTCAGGGCGCGACTCATTCGGAATGTTTTCTATATCAATGTAAAATCAAACAAGTGAATAAAGACTAAATGAATATATAATATTAATAATATTTTCCCGTCCTAGTTAGGTTGTTAGGTACATACTAGTTTATCCAAAAACTTCATGACATTTTGTAATTTATAAAAATGTATAGGAAAGTTTTGTATATTATTAATAAAAAACATAAATAAAAATAGACAATGCCGTTTTATTTCGCTTTTATGCGTAGGAATTGGATATTATGGTTATGAAAACGAAATTATTAGCATTTTGTATACTTATTCTCTGTACGTAGGGATTGTGGCATTAGTTACATGTTTGGGTCAAATAAAACGACGGAACAAAGCAGTCAAGTTCTATATTTTATCGTTTACTTAATTTATTTTGTACAAACTTCAACAATATATATAATAAATACTCAATTAAACCTCTATCATTCAGCAAACTGAACTCACTTTTTTGTCATAAGTATAGTTAAAATAAACAATACAATGATATTATAACTTATTGTCTAAACTTAATTAAACACAACTTCTTTGTGCAAATATGCCTAATAGTAGTTATAATCTTTGGTTTCACCAACATAAAGTGACGACATATTGGTAAATGTATGCCGCATAGAGCCGTATGGAACTTGTCAATCTCGATACCTAACGCTATAAGGAGCTTTAAATAAGAAATACTCTTAGATTGTAGTTCTTATCACATAAATGCTTACACATTTCAATAAATGCATTTTTGTGATAACAAAAGTACTAGCTAAATAGAAAGAAATTAGAATCAATCACGTTTCATTTGTACTACGTGTCTGTCTCAACTTTTGGTTGGCAATCAATCTACGAAATAAAATGTAAAACGAATTCTGTTTTGTGACTGAGTGCATTTATATAACGACAAATAATTATCTAGCTTGTCCATTATGTTTACTGGCTAACCGTAGGTACAATATATTCACATTCACTAAATGGTGATAAGCGGTAAGTTTACCTTAATAGCTAATAATCAACAATTGGTGTACATTCGTGATTGTTTACACGGCACTAACTAGGTGAAAACATCAGTATTGTCGAGTTAAATCATATTTCTAAACTTAAAATACTTACGTGATTTTAAGTTACAGATTTTGATTTTAGATTTTTACAAACACGTCAACAAGGACATTTAAAACAAATGTTCAAGATCATCTTATCCGATCAGTCTTCCAAAGCGCAATATAATATTATATATTAGAGGACAGAGCTTGAGTGGCTCCACACGGCTCTCAGATAACTAGTTACCTTGTGTTGAACGTAAAGTAACGTCTGACGTAACGCAAGAGGGAACGCAAGAGTCGCGACCGCGCGACCGCAGAGCGCGGGGCGCGCGCGGGCGCCGGGGAACCTCGCCCGCTCGCTCCCCGCGCTGTCTTTATAAAATTATCTACATAATCATTATCTTGTAACCATAATTATTGCAAAATATGTGCAAAACTGTAAGCGTCTCTTTAGTTTACGATACACTGACTCTTTAAACCTTGCAGCACTTAAAATTGTCTTGCACTTGAGATAATTTTTCACATTTTATGTAAACGAATTGAAAACAACCGGCACACAACTATTCGGTGACATGTTCCATACAAGGTAATGAAAAGCGAAACCTCTCGTCGAGCACACGTTAACGTTATTGCTTCAAGCTTATTACGTATCGCTGATATCAATAGATAGTAGACATAATATAATAAATTACGTGTTGCGACGTGCGGTTTGGGATCTACCCGGCAATAAGCTCTCAATATTTACAGAGTAGTAGAAAATTGACCACTTCCAAAGTTAAATTACAAAAATTTAATGATTCATTAGTCTGTTGTGCTAGAAAAGACAATACTGTCACAGAGGTGTACCGTCGTGAGGTGACGGCGACGTCCGGCCAGGACCTCCGTCTATCTAGAGAGATGTCAATCGAAAAATAAACAATACTTCATAATATCTACCTTACTCGGTAAGGGACGTTCGATCTCTTAGTTAATATCATCTTATTGCTAATATAGTGATGTCTTTCAAGTAGCCGAATCGGTCGTACATCGTGGATGAACATTAAACATCATCAACATCGTCAAAATGTAATCTGCAAGAGCAACACTCGTCGAAGCAGTACCAGCCCGCTCGCTATATATGTAGATACAGGGACGGGGGCGCGGCCGGGGAGCGCCGGCCCCCGCGGCTAATGTAATCCGGGGAAGGCAATTACATTAACTAGGTATGTGGAAAGTGCGCGTTACATAAAATGGCTCGATTCTTATGATGCGTACTGAATTAGGACGGAAGTGAATTCTGGTACCGATTTCACAGCTGATTTGTTAAGCTTATATAGATAACGTTGCAAAAATTTCTCTAAACTCTCTTAATCCCGAGGACCGGCGGCAGCCGTCCTCGCATAGCTAGACGCGACATGCGTCGTTTCGGTACAGTGAGAAGCTTACAAATTGGAACTATTAAAACTATACGGACAAAATTGATATGAATCGGCGGCGTAGCCATTGCTTCTCTTAAGCGTCTATTAAGATACGATAATACTAGCGCGCCCGAGAGCGCGGGCGAGCGGTTCACGTAAATGTATGTAACCGAAGTGTGGACGTGAGGCGGTGCATCGAACGTGTTCGCGTGAGTGAAGCACAAGCGGTGACTGCGCGCCGCACTCCGCCGCTCCACCACTCACTCCACTCACTCACTCCACTCACTACACTCACTCCACTCACTCGCTCCACTCCACACTACACACACTACACGCCGGGACCGGGGACATCTACTTGTGCTATTGCTCGACACCATTTCGGGGAAGTAAAATGATATCTCACAATCGGTAACAAATCATCAAACTTCACAATATTTATAAGTACAGTTCTGTTTTAGAATTTTACAGATAGACAGTGATATTCATCGAATACAAAAATAAGCTTTTAGAGTTTCCTCAATTTTATCCAATACCTTACATTACATCACTAGTGACGAATAAAAAAAGGGCACGCTCGCGAGAACGATCCTCTCCGATCACCGGGAACAGGTCCGCACGCGAACGCAAACCGACGAATGCGAATCGGAACGACAGAACGCGGTGAACGCGCGCGTACATCGGTCGCAAAACAAACTGATCACTAAGCTTCGGCCACGCGAATACAAAACACTCCAGTAAACACGTCGAACGTCTCTAGAACGCGAAGAAGTCGGTCCAGGCGGGCGCGGGCGCGCGCCGCCCGGCCGCGGCGCTCTGCCGCCGCTAGACGGGACTAGGGGCGCCTGGGCGGGCTCAGCAGCTCGGGCAGCGGGGCGGGCAGCGGCAGCGGCGCATCGGCGGCCAGCGCGGGCAGCAGCGCCAGCGCCAGCGCGGGTCAGACGGGCGCCGGCGCCGGGCCCGCCTCGCCGCGCCACGCCGCGCCGCCGCCCAGCACCACGCGGTGCCCGTTGGGCGTCACGGCGTCCAGCAAAACGGCAGTGGCGGCGCCCGACGGCGACGCGGCGCCCGAGCCAGCGCCCGGCGCGTCGTGCGCGCGGCGGTGGCGGCGCCAGGCGTGCTGTATGAGGCGCGCGCAGTATTCCTCGCGCTGGCGCCACAGCGTGGACGACACGGGCTCGTAGCCCACCTCGTCGGGCCGCCCCACCTCCAGGTCGCCGGGGTCCTCGATGGGGTTGCCTTTCCGCGCGAAGAAGTCTTTTGTGAGTGCGTCGAGGATGTCGACGCAGAACATCATGTCGCCACGACATATCGGGATGTCCATAGATATAATCTTGTACTTGTTGGGCTTGTGGATTTGCAACGGCGGTTCCAACACGTCCAGGAAGTCTGACAGCTGATCGTAGCGAATGTACTGTGTGCCATCCGGGTCGAACCGCTGCCAGATCTCGTAATACATATCGTAATCGTCGTCCGTGAGACCCTCTTGAACGTCTTCTGTCGCCTATGTAACAATAATATAAAACATCACAATCGGTTCATCATCAGGACTTCAAAAGTAAGGACAAATAAAATATAAGTTACCTGTGAATAATTCTCGAGAATGACGGCGATGTACATGTTAATAACAATGAGGAAAGAGATAACGAGGTAGGACAGCAAGTATGTGATGCCGATGGTGGCCGAGCCACAGTTGCCAGGGTACCCTCTCTCGTTGTCCGGCAGATCACACTCTTCCTCATTGATGATACCATCCAGTACACCGTCCCATCCGGCTGATGTTGACATCTGTAGAATATCATAAAATATATGTCCAAATGTGAAAATCATATTCAGTTTAAATCACATTACTTATCAGTCAGTCAAGCAGCAAACAATAACTTTCACAAAAATAATTGGATAACTGACCTGAAATAGCAGGATCATACTCTGCACGAAAGTCTTGAAGTTGTAGACGTCGTCGAGACCTCCTTTGTCCTTGACGTGCATGAAGAATGACATGCCGAAGATGGCGAAGATGAACATGACAAGGAAGAGCAACAGACAGATGTTGAACAGGGCTGGCAGTGACATCGCCAACGCGAACAATAACGTCCTGATACCTTTCGCGCCCTTCACGAGACGCAACACACGACCCACCTTCGCCACTCTCACGACTCTCAGTAAAGTCGGAGATACAAAATATTTCTCTATAATATCACTCAATACCAAACCTGGAGACAAGAGTAACAAGTGATTAGCAAATTTGAACTGAAGACAAAATACAGCATTGATTAGACAGTGAATTGGATACTTACTAAGAATTGAGAAATTGACTACTACGAAATCGAATAAGTTCCAAGGCTCAACGAAGTAATGATAGCGTAAGGCGAACATTTTTAGTAGGCACTCTGAACTGAATATCACGATGAATATCATGTTGAGGTAGTCGAGCACTGTGCTGAAGGTCTCGGACTGCTGGTAGTGGTCCAGCGTCATCGTCAACATGTTCAGCCCGATGAACAACATGATGATCATGTCGAACTTCTTGTCCGTCACTATCTCGAACACGATGGCTTGTGGTCGCCACTGGAACAATCAATATTATGACAATTTAAATATCAAACTTTGTGAAACAAGTAAAATAGGAGTATCGATTAAGAATTTAAGAAAATATCAATCGATATAAACTGTCTTTGATGTAAACTGACCTTGGGCCTCGGAATAGCTTTCAGCGGTTTCTTAGAACCCATTTTCTTCATGGCATTGTAGTATTTCTTCTGATCTTCAGTCATGAACATCTCGAGACTTCCACCGGCTTTCTTCTTCTGTTCGTTAAAGTTGTCGATGATCACACCGATGAATAGGTTGAGGGTGAAGAATGAGCCGAATATAATGAAGAATACAAAGTACAGGTACATGTAGATGTTCGTCTCTCTTATTGGTTGCCGTCCCACCTGCAAAACAGAAATAAAAATGATATGAGATTTTGATAGTTTTTGTTATGACGGTATCGTATACATATACTATGCCAGAAAGTTTTAAGCCATGTTGCTCTCACATAAGCCCTAGTACTCCTAGTAGCTACGTACCTCTCGTGAATCTATAGCATCGTTCATAATCTGTATCCATCCTTTGAAAGTGGCCACCTGGAAGAGGCACAGGTACGCCTTGCCCACGTGGTCGAAATTCATTGGCGAGTTTTCCCATGTGTAGTTCTCCAAGATGCACGCGTTCCGGTCCGGGATGATCTCGTGGCTTAGCGTTGTGTGGTTTAGATCGACGCACTGGAAATAATAAGAAAAGGATTTTAATAATTTACAGAAGATTTGTCAAATTAAGGAAGAAAAAATATTTTATAATACACTATACTGACCTTGAAATACTTTCCAGCGAAAAGCTGTACACCCATGATGGCAAAGATAAGCCAGAAGATAAGACAGACCAGCAACACGTTGAAGATGGACGGGATCGCCTGTACCAGCGCGTTTACCACCACCTGCCATATAACACACCGTTACTTACACTGCTCTAGGAGACCACATAAAACGACCATTCATTAGTCTGTGTGCAGTGTGTAGACACTGTCTTTTGTTTAATTGGCGTGCATTTGTTAGTTAGCATTACATCAGTCTTTAAGCAAGAACATTTTCATCGGTAGTAGCTACTGTGCAAGTCTATGTAGTTTGAATGTTGACTTGATTTACTTCTTACTTTGAGTGATCATGTATATGGAACTGGCTGAGAATGATATTAGTTAGGTATCTACACAACATGAACATATTTACATTACATCGATACACCGAAGCACACCTGGAAGCAACATAAATATACTACACTACTCTTACCTTGCCCACTAAGTTAGCCATCCGCAATGAATGGAATTAGTAGTAATGCATGCGACTTGCCGCTCGTACGATGAAGATACAAGAAGAAAAAATCTAAGGTGCAGAATATAAATTAGCATTCCAAATTACTAAGTAATTACAAAACTCTAATCTAGCTAATAATAATAAGACCAATAGAAAAAGAGACCAAAACATGGATGAAATCTCTCCTAAAGTAAAACCCATTGAACCATTTCTAAAAGAGGTTTATGACGAACAGTGATGATACTAAGCCATTCAGGGGTGCCACCGACCACTTCAAAATGATTCACTAATTGTTATTTCGATAAATCGACTACTGCCAATGAGTTGGTAACAACTGTTCAAATTAACGATTTAAAACAAATTTAGATCTGGTGATTGATGCAGAAATATCGAAAAAGGAGCCGTACTCGAACATTGGAGAATTAATATGTATTTAATGATCTTAGAAGTTGAAATAGAAATGTGAATGTGAAGTGTAGAGCGAAGTGTGTGGTGGATGGATGAGCGATAGGGTGTACTCGCAGCACAGGGTGGTACGTACCCTCATGCCCTGCATGCGGCTCATGGCTCTGAGCGGGCGCAGTGCGCGCAGCGTTCTCATCGTTTTGAACGCCTGAATGCCGCCGGCGCCACAAAGCGCCGCTACGAAGTTTATAAGCGAGACCTGATGAAATCAAGGGTTGCATATTGAGACAATTTATATTTCAACATTTGATCGTACAAAGTTATTCAGAAGTCTACTGCTGCACCTAGAAAACAGACAATTACATAACAACAATAGATCCCACAACGTCAAACAGGACAATTCCAATTATGGCCGAAGACTCACAACCAAAGTTACAAACCTAGACTGGATTATCATTCGATGATGACGAAGACGAGATGACGCCAACTGCAGAATAACAGACAGGATAAATTGTGACGTATCACTCAATACACACATTTGTACATCGAAGTTTGAGGACGTCAGAGAAATAACGTGGGTTTTGAAATTAAGTGGACAACTTGAAACACACAATCTTCAAATTGGATTTATTTCTCCGATGTCCCAAAATAAAGCTACATCACAGGTTAAGAACAAATATAAAGGTATATGTATATAGGTATAAATATTTTGCTTATATTTGACATCGACAGCAGCCAAGATCATGTGCCATTTTCAGTTGAACCATGTTTCCTCAGTAAATTGAAAACATTTACAGATAAACTTTAAACTGTACTTGAAAACGGCACTGTCTCGTACGACAGCACAAAGATAGAAGTCGTGTTGGATCATGCACTTGAAAATATCAGGATTTCAAGTCACTCTGTGAAGGCCGATATATAGTTGGCCACAGGTAAAGTCAGGTAGCAGGGATCGTGGGTAGAGAGTCACATAGAAGCGGTTTCCATAAACAAACAGTACGACATCGAGAGCTCGAGGCAGCGAGGTGAGGCCGTTCGGAGTTTCCACTGCCATAGACATCGAACAATCAAAGCTGCACGCTTTGAGTTGCGCTGCACATTAATCGCGGCAAAATTACATAAACTTTAAAATAATAATCAACCTTTTAAATAATGTTTGTTAATTATCAAGTTAATAAAGCATTGATCCCAGATTTTTGTTATTCATTTTATGCTCAGAGCATTTTTGTTAGTAGATAATACTTTTGCAGTTAGTTGTGAGCAAGGTCACGGCGCTATGCTACACCCAGGGAAACAATCAAGGAAAAGGAAATAAATTTTACGTGAGAAAACGAAAGACTGTAAAAACTTAAAACAAATTATACCTAAGTAAAATGTTCTTAGTACTGAAATTAACATCATAGAATCAGAAATTATTTGTATTCAAATTATTGTCCAAGAACCCGCGGACATTATTACATAAACAATACTTTTTTGTTGTTTTTTAATTGTTAAGTAAAATAAATAATAGTTTTACTCAATAGTAGGTAGGTACTTTTTGAAGTAATTCAAAAAAGTATTAGTCAAATTTTATTGGGTACAATAGTTTCCTTTGTGTGTAGCACGGCGACGTGGACAGTTAATAATTAGTTAGTATCTTAGTTTGCGGATGTGCAGCGCAACGATACCGGCGCAGTGCGCTACTCACGCGCATGCCCTCCCAGCGCGACACGGCGCGGAGCGGCCGCAGCGCGCGCAACGTGCGCATCGAGCGGAACGCCGGGATGTCGTCTGCACCCGCCATCACCGCGCCGTGGTTTACGAGCGACAACTAACGTCACACCAGGTCATTTAACATACGTCAAACTTAGATCTACATTTATACTTAGTTTACTTTATCATTTACTCGGTCTTCACACCACAGCACCTTGAGAAACTGTAGTGTCACAGAAGACCTTCATAAAACACATTATGACCAACCCGGACAAAACCATTATCTTTCGTTCTTTAGTTTAACGGTTGGTCAAATCCTTTGTTATGAATTCTTAGTAAACTAATCTGGAAAGAAACTATTAGTACGTCATATTTTATATAAGAAATAATATCAATTTGGTACATTACCATGACAATGATGAAGTCGAGCCAGCACCACGCGTTTGTGAAATATTTTTGGAAGCCAAGGGCAAGCCATTTGATCAACATCTCAATGAAGAAAATGACGGTGAAGATACGATCCATATAATACAAGATGTCCTGAAGGATGGGTCGATGTGGTAAGTTTACGTCTTCTAAAGCCTGGAAATGAAACAGATTTTTATGGTTTATATTATATTGTTAACTTTTTTTAAGTTAAGATAAAAGCAACAAATGAAAATATATTCGTCAAACTTACCAAAGCCAAACTACTGAGCAAAATCATTGTAATCACAGCCGTTTCAAAGTACGTGTTCTCAATGAGTTTGAAAGTCTTCAACCGTAGCATGCCCCAGCCTTGCCAGAAGGGAGACTCGTCGTCGCCAGCGAGGAATGGAAACTTCGCGTAGCACGGCTCTGGGCAGCAGTCAGCGGGACTGTCGTCAACGACTTCTTCGTCTGCTGCTACTATGATGTCTGTTTTGCCCAGACCTCCATCTAACTTCCCATCTTCTTCTTCTTCAACCATTTCTAGAAAAGTATCAATTTTAATTAGTAAATAGTTCTATCGCATATTATACAGTAGTTCTTTTGTCATGAAACTAACCTTCTTCTAATCCTAATTCTTCTTTACTGGCATCTTTCTTCTCTTCGCCATCTATCGTGTCGGCTGAACCTTTATGACTTTCATCCTTGAATGATCTGATTTTGTGACTGCCGTACGACTTTTGACTTATTGTGTCATCGTCCTAGAAAGATATTTCGTTAGTAAGTTACACAGAAAATATATATATTTTGGTTACATGAAGGGGGTTGATTACATATTTACCTGTATAGGGTACCCATGATGATTTAATTCACAATCTAATCGGTTGTCTCTATGATTATCTGTTATCGCATTTATATTATTTAACAAAATTTTTCCTTTTTTGTATTTATTGTCACCTGAAAGTACATGATTAGTATAGCGCAATGTATGAGTTATGAAATAAAATTGTATCAAATGTATGTTTGGAATGCTATAGTTACCTGGTATAGTGAATTCCATACCATCACCTATAGCTACTTCTACTTGGTCTTTTAGTTTCTTGTCTTTGTACAATACGGCGTCGTCCAGGTCTGTGCCGAGTTCCAGTTCGTTGTCGACTCGCTCTGAAGAGACACAGCGGCCACACAAAGCCGCCTTTAAGCCTACATGTCGCACGATGTGTCCACGGTGCGTTCACGGAGAGGCCACACGACGACCAAGCATAGAAATGAGACCAGGACGAATCGACTTAGTTAAATTCGTCAAAACATTATATCACATACTGGTATTATTACGTATTTAAATCCTCTGTACAACATGGTAGGTGAACACAAAAATGAGCCAAGAATTTATTATGTAAATCTCCGTGCTGACATTAAAAGCTTAGAAACTTAATGTAAACAACAGATTTTTTTAATGACAATGGAATGTACATCTTAACATACATAGTAACAAGGTAAAATATTGTTAAGACAACATCAAAGATGCAATTCACGGTTACAGAATAATGATAGGTAGATAATACAGGTACACATAAACGGATAACATTTACGTACAAACAGTAATCATGCATAAACACACAAAGCACACATGACATGGACAGTAATAATGATGACGAGTCACAAAGCGGCTGAGTAATTACCTAATTAATTGATAATTTAACATTCCCTAGTAATTTTCCAAAAGAGACAAGTGTCATAAGTTGTTATAAGTCATCAGTTGCTATTCAGTTTTAATTTTAACGTTGCCCAACACTAGGATTTCTTTCTGTGTCGTGGGTGCGTTGACAAACATACAAGTTTACATACACATGACATCCAGACCCGAAACAACAAATTGTGGAATCACACAAAGAGTTGCTCCGTGCGGGAATCGAACTACACGTTGCGTGGCAGCCTGTTGCCCAGCCACCGGGCCAACCGTGCTGTTAGCTGCACGGTTGTCAGTTGATAGAATAACGTATCGAAAAATAACATAAGACATTCCGTAAGGGTTTCCCTTGTACGAATCATCTTATTTGATTTATCGTGAAAATCGTCTTTTTGATTGTTTTCGATTACCCAATGATGTAGTTTGAGTAATCGATTCTTCCACAAACATTTGTAATTATAATATTTTTTTAGAGAAATAGTTCAGGGTCACGTTATTGTAAGCGAATCATTATTTATTTATATTATATAAGTACGTTGTTTATTTATAAGTCCATAAGGCTTGCACTTACAACGCCGATGCAAAGGCTATTAACGCGGTAGATATTGAAATATTTATACATAGGGCAAAGTTAGAAAGGTAATCTCTTCGACTAAGACAAAGTACAGTGATAAATGAACACAATAGTAATGAAAGGGACAGATACATAGATAGATAAAAAACAGAAAACTAACAGTAATACGAGGACTCAAACACACGACATTTATACAAAGGGTCTGCATTTCTACACTTGGATCGCTAAGGCGCAGGCAACGCACTGTGGTCACAAACACCAACACGCAATCCAAATATTTATTACATTCGATACACAAATCCATGCTATTCCATATTATAATTACACATAAATCATGCTACAACACTAATTGGAATATTTAACGCAGTTATTTTTACATTTTCGTATATTTCTTTGCTTGAGTTGTTATTCATGTTATTCGATTGATTGCAAAAATGAACAGTATTTGTTTTGACAAAAACAATGTGGTCGATTTTCCATCAACCAATTGTTGTTATCCACTGGAATGAATGTGAGTTTCTGTCATTTACTTTTTCGATTCGTTTTCAAGCATACTTACGTGTGAATTTGACGGCAATTATTTTCCGTACTTTCTTGAAAACGAAACGAAAATGTTACTTCGAAACTCACTCTAATTATAGTGATATAAATATCAGAATCATACTGATATTAGAAAAGAAGTTAATACTTTGGGTACCTATTCAAGGATTAGGATACATTTTTTTTACAAAAGCGAGAACAATAAAGACTGTATACATATTTATCTACAATACAAAATACATAGAGGTATAACGACATGCCACAACATACTGGCAGGACACACATCTTACCGGGAGCGTGGATCGCAATCTGATTGGTCAATTTGTTCTTCAGTAGCTTCATTACGTCGGCTACGTTACGTTTCACCCAATCAATGAACCTCGATATTCTGTTGAAGGCCTCCGCTATTTTATTGGTATCCTGATCAGCGGTTGGTGTTGATAAACTCGATGAACCGAAATTGGACAGTAACAGGGCCAAGAAGAGGTTGAGTACCTGAAATATGATTTGTTTAGCCAATGTGTTGACTTGAAGTTTTTGTTGGTATATTCTTTTTTGGAGATACGTACCACAAGATTGCCAATGACGACTGTAGCCAGGAAGAATGGTATACAAGATACGTCTCCGACCAACATACAGTCCCACATACTCTCAATCCATTCTCCGCAGAGCACTCGGAATACAATCATGAAACTGTGCATGAAATCCGTGAAATTCCATCGCGGGAGGTCACCGTCCGGGAAACGGTCTACGTAATCTGTGCATACATACCAACACATTAGTACATCTATGATCAACAGCTAAGATTTGTCAAATTAATTTTTACACATTTTGTTACAAAAATATCTCCTCTTTACTTATTATAAGCCTCGGACTCGTGTTCAGAACTAAGACATCTATGTGAAAGACAACCACAACACACCACGATACAATATAAATATCTAGATAATTATATACGAATATTGTATAAATATTTGTAAATAAATACATAATATAAGTAAAGAGATATATTTTCTTATTTTGCTTTAAATATATCAATAGGTATATAAGCAATTTATTATTCACAAGCAATACAAATGTCGCAGTATGCGTAATCAAGCCTTGAAATGTTAACATCCTTTTTCTTTTATTTGCAATTTAGCCCAACAAATATAAATCGTATACTTGATTGGAATACTGCGATTTTCAAAGCTCATTTAAATAGTGCAATTGGCTATATTGTGTTCTAATAGACGATAATTGGTCTAAAATTCTGTGATGCTCCTAAAGCGAGCTACATCATGCGGTTCACTATGCCATGAGCCTAGAGTATCAAGCTTTATAACATCAACCACATACTTACTATAGTAACGGCATGCCATTAAATAGTACTATAGAGTATTAGAGACAAATGTAGCGCTAACGGAAGGCATAGTAAACGTAAAAATTGAGAATGTTTAAAGAAAATTATGTATAAAGGAAACGAGAAGTGGCTAGCGTACTGTCTCACAAGTGAGGCGCCTTTTCCATGGGGCTTTTACAAAGAGCTGTACAAATCTTTAAGGGCTGTCTAACTTGGAAGGGGACACATCGAATCTTACCAATTGTCTAATGAGCACAACAGTGTGACGCACATAAACACAATATTCACTATTCAAACAGCGACGGCGCGCCCCTGTTAAAGTGTGGACTCAGGGAAGTAATTTAGACCAGGGCCGTTTAGGATCTGTTAGCAGTGTATGTTTCGTATCGTGAATTCTGTTGTTAATGGTGTTTTAATTTGATCTACGTTATATTATTTGTTCTATCGGATTTAATACTGTACGATGAATGTTTTGTGACTATGTATAGAAGTGTGCAATCATTACCAGTTTTAATTTGGTTTAATGTTTGAAAAAGAACCTGTGCATTGACATTCCATCCTCTTCCATTTGCTTCAACTGTAGAATTTATTGTTGTGCTAACATTCCTGAGAGTCTTTTAGAGACTGTTTCAAAGTAATTTTGTCATGATAGTTTCATCCACGCTTTAACAGATTATGTCTCGCGAAATATACTTCAACAGTTGTGTCCGCGATTATTGTATCATTCAGAGCAAATTGCTAACAGTTTATTGAAACAGAACATGACTGAAAACGAGCGTTCGGCTTAGACTGTAATTGAAATGTTTTCGTAAGACTCTATGAACGACCAGCGATTGTAATGTTTCTGTTGAAATATATTAGTAGCGGTACAGGGCACGGCGCCACGGCATACCAACAGTCAACATCTCCAATCAAACACCAATGTACATGCAACACTCCCACCAATTACACTTACCCACGTAATTTTTCCCGAATAGTTGCATACCCATCACCGCAAATATGAAAATAATGATGCACAATACGAAGGTCAGGTTGCCCAAGGCACCCATTGTCCTACCCATTATGGAGATGAGTAAATTAAGTGTCGGCCATGACTTTGCCAATTTGAATACTCGAAGCTGCAATTACAAATTGTGATACAAGGCGTCACACAAGCTCGCTTACCGGCGCTTCACCTATGCTACTGCGGAACCCTTCCACGACCCTCAATCACTCACCGTGTCTGGCGAGCAGTGCGTGTGTGAGTGATTGGGGGCCCAACGTTAGCAAATGTGTGCTCAGTACCTATCGATGTGCACAGACTTATCTCTGTATGAGTGGGATTTATGTTAGTTGTAAAAGTGAGAGCTTTTGGATCGATAACATTTTGATCAACTTCCATATGTCTAGGTTCTAATTCATTGCTTGTCTCTGTAACGACATAGATCCCATCAGTAGTCGACCTGATGCATCAAAGTACCCTTCGTAAGCGAAGCTGCAAGTCAAATCTATGTTACTCGATGCAAAGCTTAAATAATTATGATCTGAAGCTGCGTGGCATAGCTTTATAACGTGGCTCGTCTCAGGCTCGCCTGCGTTTCCGAGCCACATTCCGTGTTATAAAGCCACAGCGAGGACCATCAGTCCTTCATGAAAATAATGTTGAATCAAGCCCAGTGTAAAGATTTCTTTGTGTGAAGCTGAATAATTAATAATGAAGCTTAATTCATTAATTAGAGATGCTAAATTTTCTTTTAAATTAGAACCTGTGTAGTTCTTGCCAAACAACTGCATCCCCATCACCGCAAATATGAATATAATGATGCAAAGTACAAAGGTCAAGTTCCCTAAAGCTCCCACCGTCCTACCCATTATGGATATTATTAGGTTTAGCGCCGGCCAAGACTTGGCCAGTTTAAATACACGTAGCTGAAAATATTTCACCACATTTATACATAACTTGGATTAACATTAGTAACAGTCTTATTAGTACGAATGACAGTGAAGTTGGTAAAGGTGACCAAATTAACGATGATTTAAAAGAAAATATAGAACATAATAGTTACTAATATCAAGCATGAATAAAATATGTAGCAAATGAATACCTCCAAATAAGGGTAAACGAAGAGACACTTGAAATTAAAGATGGCAGATGAATGGAATTGGACGATGAGATTTTGTTAGTAACAGATAGTATAAACAAACAGTAAGAGTAATACATACCAAACGAAAGGAACGCAACACTGACAAACCCTGAACACCTTCCAATCCCAACTCCAACAGTGATAAGGCCACAATAATAAAGTCAAATATGTTCCATCCTTCTTGGAAGTAGAACTTTGGGCTCATAGCTACTAATTTCAACATGGCTTCTATTCCGAATGTAGCAGTGAAAAACTGAAAACAAATGCACAATAAGAAATTGTTCTTCTATAGAACTAGATACGTTATTAGATTCTTCTTTTGTAGACGTATGCTCGTGAAATATTAGTATGATACTCACATAGTTGCCACTTTTGAGCGCCTTCTCCATGTCTTTGTCCATGTCGTGGTGGTCGAGCGCCATGAACAGCGTGTTGACTACGATACAAAGGGTGATGAACAACTCCACGAACGGATCGAACACCAACAGAGCCACGTACTTCTGAAACTCCAGCCACAACCAACAGCAGTCCCACACACAGAAGAAGTCTATCGCCTTCATCACGCACTCCAAGAGCTTCTCTTTGAACGTGGGCCCATCCTCATCGTCTTCCGCTGTTGGGAAGTAGTACACTGACACTGTTGCGTCCCGTTTACCACCAGTGTGCGTGTGTGTGTGTTAGAGAGAGAGAGAAACATTTTTTGTTAGTATTCGCTCATTATTTCTTTATCATAACAATCAAAATTGATTCCAATAAAAGACGGTTGAATTTAGATTGTATTTGACTTGTTTCTTCGCTAATTCATTCTTTTATTGGAACTTACAGTCTTATAATCTAGACACCAATATCCATATTTTTTGTTTTGCTGGCTGTCATTTATCTACACAATGAAGTAAGGATTGCGCAAACTCGTGGCACTTGGTGCTGTTTGGAGATACTCTACAAGAATATCAATCACACCACGGTGCCAGGTAACCTCGTGCAAATCAAACTCAAACATTACTAGCGGTGAAATACTCGGATACTCTCGAATGCTTTCAAGCATATATCGCTTAACTACTTGAAATGCTCATGGATGATAATTGAGCTCATCTGTTCAATTTTGACTCCCGCAGACCAAAAAATATGAATATCGTGACTATCCATAGAGAGTGATTAAAGCAAAACACTGTAGCTTTTTGCATGAAATTTACAATTTAATTATATATTAAGTTTTTGCATGACATCTTAGGTCATGGTTATATTAGACTCTAGTACAAATAAACAAAATCTAGCGAAACACGTGCAATCACAGTGCATGCAAGGAGGGACGTCATTGCCTCCAGTGGGTGCATAATGCGAACGTAAAAAGTGCAAAAAGCGACTAAATTACATTGGACATGAATACGACAACAGTGTAACACATGTTAGTGTAATCAACATTGTAGGATAATGTATGTAGGCAAAGTAGGATGTAGAGGCAACTACTGTTCAATACGTGTGTGGCCAGTCGAAGAAAAACTTCAATATATAAATCTGTTCTGATTATTTCCACGTTCAGTATGTTTTGGATCACTGTGCTACACAACCACTTTACTTCAAACTGTGCAGCTTTTTCTTCAACTAAGTGCGTGCGAGTGCAATATTTATTCTATGCCTTGGCTCATCGCCTATAAATGACATCCACAAATGTTCTCATTTTGCCAATTATGCTTTTTTGTTGCATAATGAGCAAATACCTGTCAAGTGTGATCTGTTAGTGTTCGTGTGGGTTTAGTTCGTATTTTGTTTAATTAACTGTAGGTTTATTAAGCAAGTTAGACATCGAACGTTGACAAAATAAATGGTAATAAAGAGAGCGACTTTGGCATTAACATTAGTGTGTGGTGTATTGTCGTACCGTTCTGATCGCTTGCTCGACTCTGGCGGCCGGCTTGCTCGATGATTTCATTCAATACCATTACATCTGCAACATTTCAGGCAACACGATAAGAAATTAGCCTAAAATTTGACCTGCGTCGGATTTTTTAAGTTAATCAATTATTCTGAAATAAACCTTATTTGAAGAAATTAGAGGTAATAATTAATTGCCTTATCTTTAAGATATTGTATTATACCTCTCATGTCCACTACGTTTGGTTGTTGCGAAGATTCAATGAAGGGATTGTCTGTCGATGGTTTCAATACTTTCCCAGCTTCGTCTGTACATTCAGTCGTGCTCATTTCCTGAAACAATTCCAGTAATTAGTATCCAGATATTAATTGGCGATCATAGTTACAACGTTGCATGTTTGAGTCTTACGGTCCATTAGGAGAAGATATTCAAGCTTTATTATTTCAAGTACTTGGAGTTAAGTTTCTTTTCCAAGAACAAGAAAGAAGAAAGAACAGACCTTTTTGATAATTATAGGCTGATTATAATGAATATGGTTAAAACAAAAGATCTTTACTTACATATTCTCTAAGTGGCCTGGACGCTAACGAAAAGTCCTGGCCGGGCAGTGGGTAGGCGTGTGGTTGTGACGTCACGCTGTGGTTTCTCGACGCTGAGCGGTTTCTAAGGCGTGCCTCCTTGGTCTGCGCCTTACCACCGCCCAGCAGGTCACCATGCGACGTGTACGACAACCGCGACTGATGCGACGTATATGATGAGTGACGAGATCCTGGAGTATAACGTAGTAGGTGAAGGGTTAGTTCATAAATATTTAACGGGTGAGTGTTAAACTGCATTAAAACAGTAAAAAAATAAGTTTTCTTCACTTATTAGAGATAATAAGTTTTTCATTACCAATAAATTTAAATACACATAAGTAAGGGCTTCGGTTTGCCTCGAAGTTAATCGAGCATTATACAAAAAAATGCAGCTTACCTAAATTAGCGTAGTAAACTGGTATAATGATAGCACCGTTCTCTTCAGACATGGGGGTGACGGCGTTGGAGTCGTCAGCGTAAGGCAGGTGTTCCTGAGCGTCCAGGTACGTAGACAGCACCAGCGGCTTGCGGTCCGCACCCGGTGGATACCGCGACCGACCGTTCGGCCGCAGCGCCATCTGGTGCGAGCCCCGAGACCCTCGACGCAAATTGAACGGCGAGCCAGGCAGTGATAACGAAGCCTGTGCCCATACCGACAATTCAAAACACTGACATCCACAATAACAATACATCATCATAATTTAATTTATTACATTTCAACTTTCTCTTTATAATACATTTCAATTATCATTTTAAGTATATCCTTCATTTTCATTTACATATTTTTCCTCAATTCAGATCGAGTAGCTTTAATTCATGAAAACTATGACGTTGTTTTAACATAACAAACTATTGAACCACTATATCATGGATTCTATATCAAACTCTATTTGAACCGGCTGCAGAGGCTTTGACTTTATGTTTTTGATTGAAGTAAGAACTCCTAAATGTAACTGTTATGTCAATGATTTATTTACTTTCATGTGCTGATAAACAATAGCAAGAAAAATAAAGATAGAGGAGATAGAAAAGATAAAGAATAATGAAGATAAAGTAAATGTTTGGTGCAAATAATGCTCTATTTGGTTTATTAAAGGGCGAAAATAAGATTGTAGTCTGAATACAAATTTAAATAATATGAATAATTGCAAAAGAAAGTGGAAGATACGGGTTACCACTAATAGTAAGAGGTTGAAGAGCTAAATAGAGAAAATAAAAGTGGAGGTAATCCTATTGTACAGGAAGAGGTAGGGGAGCACAAACACCAATGAGGATTGAGGACAAACCTGTGAGCCCTCGCGCAGTGGCCCATATGGTAACTGGCTGATTTTATTTATGCGTTCAGGGTGGGGGACCTTCAATACACAAACAAAATTTCGAGTTTATTACATTTAAAGAACTTATTACGATCAAATATCTAGCATCCAACAAATAGGATAAAAGGACGGAGAAATAGGCTATGTCATATTACACATATTACGAACAAATACAAACCAAAATGGCATACATTTAAAACTGAACATACAGCTTAGAAGCGAGACTCGTGAGAGGTACAAAATTACTCTGTGCCACGAGATTCCAGTCGAGGTCTACGGGTAATGTGACACTAGCTTTCAATGAAAGTATAAATAAAATGCCTAAGAATATTACAAATATTTACAATAAGAATTTTCCTTTCAGGCTTGCATCCATGAAGAAAAAGTATCAGGATGGAAAACAAAAGTAAGGATGCTGTATAAAACTCTTATTGTAGAACAAAATACGAAAAGAAGTAGCAATGATATAAATGAGTGAAAGCAATAGTTAGTCAATTAACTTTGTTTATAAACACATGAAGTATTGTGGGGGTTCACATGCATATTTGCATACGACTATTTCATAGTCCTATCGTAGCTATTTACTTCATTTAATCTACATCTATAGTCATGACGACTGTTCCTTTGTTCGTCCAAATATTGAAGCCTCCGCATGTCGCTAATCGAAATTGAGGAATTAAATGTTACTTCAATATTAATGTAAGTTTTATGTTTAATTAATATATTTTGACTGAACCTACCTCTTCATCGTCGATACGTTCAGTTCGCCCGCCCGTTCGTTAACACTCACATTGCAAAAGAAACAATCTACCATGACAATAGACTCATTCGCTCCAATATTATTTCTTATCGTTCCTAGCTTACTCAAGTCTTGTACAAAGTACAGAACATAGTTGCTGATATTATTAACTCATCCCATTTATTTTATTTTATAGTATGTGGTGAAACTGGAAAGTATTGTTACATCTATTAAGAAATATTATTGGAGATCAACTGTAGAACTAAAGTGAACTACAGTGCATCATTCAATGAGCAAATATGCAACTTCTAGGAACCATGCTAACATTCATATTGTTTCCACAATAAATTATATTTAACGAAATTATTATTGGTTACAATAATGAAATAAAATAACATTTCAAATCAAATGTTTTTCGTGCTGCTAATAAATGTATTGTAACAGAAAATAATGATCTAATTGAGGAAATATGTAATGTATCATCTAGTTTTGTTTTTTTTTCAAAGCATCTATCTGTGCTGTACAGTCGTGGTGTTATCGAGGCCTAATGTGGGGTCTCGTATCGAACCAATGAAAATACGTTTGAATGATTTTAAGAGCACAGATAAATGTTAAAACACAATGTTACAGACACATCAAACTGAGAATAGAGGGAACAAGACAGACCATGTAACTAATACGCATGCTTCAAGACAAAAGATCTGATAATGGTGGAGGATCATGTAGCTTTACAGTACAAAGATAAAAATAGTCTCTGCAAATATTTAGATGGAAGAAAGAAGTTTGTAGAAAATCTAATAGGACAAATCTAGACATTTAGTTTCATCTGGATATTTGCACTAGCGTTCAAATAATAGAAGACATCACCGGCAAAAATAAAATGTTGGAAGCTTAGCGTAAACACAGAATAATAAAATGGTTCTTTTCAACTTGAGTAACTGGGAGTGCTGAATGATGATGACGGTGACAAGAGTGGAATTAAACCTTCTGTCCGAGAAGATAAAGTCTATTTGCATTTAAGCAGCGTGTTAGTCTTAGAATCAAGTTGAAAAGATACTGCTCGACTGACAATAATTCATTTCTTCAATACACAGTTGTAAACTTAAACATAATGAATTTCACATTATTAATTCAGAAAGTAAGTAAATTAAGTCTCATTAAATAAATATTTAGGGCTTCGAGAGTTAAGTACTTAGAATAGAACGCGACTTGATATAAAAAATGTATATTGATGTTCTAATGTTGCCGCGAGTACAACAAACGAAGGTCGCGGTCAATGACAGGAGATGTCAAACATAGTTATTGAGTCGCTGGGTACATTAAACTGTCAAACACCAAGCGGTCACCGGTGACCGCAACCTATTGTTCTTTAATTGTGTCTATAAATACGGTACTCGACGAGTTAATATAAGGGTCGCGAGAACCATTGTCAGCGAGTGGGAGTGTGAGGCGGCGCATACTCACCATGCTGACCTTCCTGGGGCGGCGTGCGTCGTGGTGCGGGTCGGTGGCGGTGGGCTTGTGCGTGGGCTGAGTGCTCACCGAGTCCTGGAAGGGGTCGCTACGGAGGGACATGCGCTCGCGCGTATTGTCGTCCTGGTTGCCGCGCTCCTGGTTCACGAACAGCTCGTAGCTCTGACACGAGAAGTCGCTGGGGGACTTGGCAGGGTGCGCCTCAGCGTAAGCCGCCGCCTGCGCCGCCGCCGCCGCCTCCCGCGCATGCGCCTCGCGTGCTTCCGCCTTGTCCGCTCGCGCTGCCGCTTTTTGCTCTGCTTCCTGTCGTAGCCAACCAGTATCGTCATGTTAGCAAGTACGAGGAACATCGAAGTATCTATATCATAACCTTTCATTTGAAATGGAAACTCTAAACACTTATCTTCATATATTCTTCTAGAAATTACGCAAATGGATTCTCTATTTACCCTTAGAGCTTCCTCTTCGGCCTGTTCCTCTTCTTCAGCTTTCTTCTGCAATTCGTCGTATGACATGGCGACGATGGCCAAGATCAAGTTGACGAGATAGAAGGAGCCCAAGAAGATGATCACTACGAAGAACAGCACGTGCCATGATCCCGCTGACCGCAATACCTACAAACATTAACTTGTCATTAGACAGTATAGATAAGTCCAATATCTTCAAACTATGAAGTTTTGTAAAAAATATAATAATCATCATAGGACGTTGTACTGAAATTAGAAATGAATTACAAAAGTTTATGTGAATTCATCAAAAAAGGATTAACAAGATAAATAATCCTTGATGTGTGCACTGTGTTTGGAAATGAAAATGTTGTTAGGCATAAGTATAAATTACATAAAATGACGTCATTAGGATTTTGGAAAGGTCCCATGTGAAATATACGTTTCAACATTACATTTCAATCACCATATCCAACGAACCACTTACCAACTGATAGAGGTTCTCCCAATAATCCTGTGTCATAAGTCTGAAGGCTGAGAGGAACGCCCACCCGAAGGTGTCGAAGCTCGTGTATCCGTAGTTGGGGTTCGGACCGTAGCCTTGCAGACAGACATATCCGGGTTCACATTGACTGGAAACGATATATATTATTAGAATGTTGACAAAAAAGGTTTCTTAGGTTTGTTACGCTGTTGTTGTTTATTTTTGTTAGACTTGGAACAGTGAAGCGTAAAGGGTAGAAAAAGAAGGTTTTTAGTCGAGTCCTTTGTTCATTGCATTACATTGAACAATGATATTTTAATCAAGCTGGGGAAAAATATCAGTAGTTTTAAAATTTTGATCATAATCCTCCTTACCCAGCTCCTGATGAATTTCCACAAAGTGGATATTCCCCTCCATCCCCATACCAATTGGCTGAAATAAAAACGAAAATGATTGAATATATATCCAACTTATAAGTTACTCAAACTAAAATATCTTTGTCTCCAAAATATTCTAAATGCGACTTTATTTCTTTTAAGATAGAATTGCTTTCTGGTAAAAAAGTGGTCTTACTCTCATTCTGGCAAAACCTCTCCCAGTTCTCATCGGTGAGGTTCCCCCAGGAGCCGTCTTCTGGGAACACTTTTATACATTTTTGCGTTAACACTCCCATGTAAATCTGTAGGCCCATGAGCGCGAACACAGATAGTGAAAACATCGTCAGAATTATCACATCTCTCAGATTCTTCACTGACTCTATGACAGCGCCCACGATAGTCTTCAAACCTGTTCGACAAAACCTCCTTTCATATTACAACTTCTTATATATCTACCTAATTGAAAACTACGAAAAACCTTTAATAAACCGCAAATCTCTAGTTAATTTTGCTGTTAAAACAAGTGAAACACGAAATGTCTTAAGTGTTTTTAACGGTATTCGTTGTTATATATTTCACTTCTAAGAAAAAGTAATCTAATTAATTATCTAAGATCTAATTAGATACATTTAAAATCTACATAAAAAGAAGTACTACATAATTAACATCTAGAAGAAAATAGAAAAATAGGTCTGACTATAAAATAGTGTAAAATATATTTTGGTAATGATGGGACTGTTATGTATACAGACTTGATTGTCTCATAGTCATTCTGGTTATCTCATATATAACTTACATATATATGAGTTTGGTTAATTTTACTCTATTTTTGTTAGACGTGTAATGTTTACCCGGAATGATGGCCACAGTCTTCAGCGCTCGGAGTACCCTGAACGTTCTGAGAGCGGCCAAGTTGCCGAGATCTATGCCCATCGTCACATAACTGGAAACAGACACCCACAAAAACAACATCTACGTTAATATACATCACTACAACACTACTCACAAATACTCTAAGTAAATAACTCATTGTTCCTATGAATGTATTCAATAAACAGGAAACATTTTGTTCTTTATATCTTCAATTATTTACTACAATTAAATCTGTTATTCGTCTGTAATATCTTCGTAAATTGTTCTCTATATCAATACAAAATTTTCTATTAAAAAACTATAAAATGACACATCAATATATATACCGATATATAATCTACAATTCAACGATTTTAACATTCTACATAATTCAATAAAATTGTCTACTACTCACGCTAAAGCTATAACTACGAAGTCAAGCCAATTCCATGCATCTCTAAGGTATGTGAATGGCTGAAGTATGAAACCCCGTGCCATTACTTTCACCGCTGATTCAAACGTGTAGATCCCGGTAAAGATAACTCTGGAAAAATTCACCTCCACTGAGGAATGCCACTCGTAAAATAATAAAACATTTCTATAAAATGGAGATACAGTATCAAAGTTAGCATCTCAACTTGTACGAGATGGTAAGTAAATGTATGAACAAAATATTTATTCTAATTATATATGTACGTACAGTAATATAATCTATATGTATAATAAATGTGAGTAATTATATATCTAAGTTCGATATAGTATATGTAGTAATAAAATATGTGATATGTACAAATAATGACTGTAGTATATAGTTTAGTGTACAATTACTGATTTGATTAATGGAATCATTGATTTTAGTTTGTAATGAGTCTGAAAGTCACACATGTCTTTCGTTAATTTAATGTAAAATTAAAAAATGGTGTCTAGTAATATTCAGTACAAAGTCAAATGAATTTTGGTCGTTACAGCCAGGGAAAGTTAATATAATATTCTAAACGCCTGCCTAAAGCGATTTAGGATAACTATGTATAAAATATACATGTTTTATTGTATTAATAATGTTTTCCAATAATTTACTATAAACAATGTCTAATATAATTTACGTCCGTTTATCTAAATATCGATTATATCAATTGGAAAACTAGTTGAAACTAACAATTTTGAAACTAGCGTGCACTCTACTAATTCTAGAACCTAATAAAGGATATGTTCTCTCGTCCGGTGGTATTTCAAAATTGTAAATTGAAATTCGTAATCGAATTAATCTAACTTAGATGTTGAAAAAAGGAATGATAATAGAAGTTATACTCACTCTGTACTTTCGACTGTCGGGGTCGTAGGCATTATCATAAGAATACAGTTCACTAAAATTGTCGTAATGATAAACAACGAGAACAAAGGATGTACTAGAATGTATATCGCAACTCTTCTTATTGGGTTGAAAGGGTCCAATATCCACAGGGCGTTGGTTGCCGAAAACCTGAAGATATCTTTACCCTTGCTTATAACTACGAATGTCTGAAACAAAAATAAAAAGCTTAGTATAAAGTATTCGACTGATTTGTAAGTCTAGATTTGTGTAGCGGTACCAATTTTTATAGTTATTCTATCTTCTATATATATAACAGTAAGGACAAAAGGAAGTCGTGATAGTTACATTATTATTATTTTTTTATGAAATAGGAGACATACGAGCATACAGATCACCTGATGGTAAGTGATCAGCGCCGCCTATAGACACCCATTTGTAACTAAAGAAAGACTAGATTTCACGAAAATTGTACGAAAAACATCGGGATTACCTGTACAAAGTCGCGAGGAGAAGCTATTGTTTAATTATTTTTCATACTAAAAAAATAAAGTATTTTTAGAAGTATCTATAGGTAGATATTTCCTATTATAATTAGTTATTAATTACAAACAAGGTTAAAGCTAATAATGTTTTATTAGTAACGTATTAATTGGTAAGTAATTACTTCTAGGAAAAGCTGGTTTCGATAGATCATAATTATTAGAAATCAAAATTATATTTCTGAGAGGAAAATTTCATCGGCGATCCATTGTTGTAAGTCTTCTATCTACCTATATATTATATACTTATATATATATATTCACTTTAACAATTACATATATGTATCTACTGGTAATATTTTTCTTCAACTGTTTATAAATTCATTGTTGGCAAAAACACAGACTCAATTTTTTGAAAACGCGACTGCTAAATATGGGGTATAATATTGAATGCGATACTTGTGTTGGGGAAGGAAGATACACATGACACCCAGTCCCGGAAAAACAATTTATGGATCACACAAAGATATATTAACATACGTAGGTATTTAATTATTTAATTTATCAAGGACAACAAACAGCAGTATATTAAATATAACACGAGTGAGTAAAATAGCTAGTAAAATATAATAATATATATAGTAAAGTAGTGAGGCAGCTATATATAAATTTAAGTATTTGTAGAGTAATATAAATTACAAAATTGTTATCGCACTTATTATTCACTCACTCTAATCTCTTAAACAAGATAATTTTTGCATTCTATAGTCATCATTTGAAGAATATAAATGTAGATAACATTTGAGAAGTCACGTTTACCACACGTATGCCTGTTGCACCAATAACACATGATTACCTATCATCGTGTTGTAGAGAGCTGGGCAGGACTTTGACTCTCTTTAAATCTTCAGGTAAAACGTACATACATATACAAATAATGCAGTAATTAAGAAAGGAAAGAGTTTTAGTATATGAATTAGTTTTTTATCCAAATATTTCTTTTTATTGGATACTTTTTCTCGAAGTAAAATATATATATGGACACCTGAAAGACCAAGGCGTTACAATTGCGTTCCCGACCTTTTGGGTATTGCGAATTTGAGGATTGTAGAGGATTTGGCGATTGGGGTAATTGCCATTGGGCTTCCGGTAATCTCACTCACTTTATATAGTAATAAAGTATAGTGCCTGCCTTGCCTATAGTAATTAAAACACGTGAATCTGGTCTTCTTCTGCGACCTTTAGTTTAACTAGTAAAAAATGATAATTTTATATTCTCTTAAAAATTACTTTTTGTCTAATGAGAATAAATGAATGGGTGGTCGCAAGTGCGACTGCCCGGCAAAGAGTCTCAGTTTCGATTCCCGGGTCGGGCAAAGTATTAAATAATAATAATAATAAGCCTTTATTTATTTCCTTGACCTAATCCTATTACATAAGTGTGTCGCGGAGAACCTAACGGGTAACCGGGGCTCCGGCTCGACGTGCAGGAGAAGGAACAGGGTGGTTTTTAGTCAGTAAGAGTCTGACACTCCCTCCCGCCTCACCCAGGTGGGGGCAGTAATTCGATGATTTCCCCCCCTTAAAAAAAATTATATAAGTGTTTCAAAATATAAAAAAAAGTTTGACTCATTCCTGATATAAAGTTTAAAAAAGTAATAATGTTTAATTTTGTCGTAGCTCTGTCGGGTTATTTCAAATTAAAACAGAAGACTGCACAATTAATAGGTTTAATTTCTACATATCAGAATCAAGACCGGCTCACACCGATACAAAGAAATGCCCGAATGCTATGGCTGGCGTGTGTCGATGAAGAAGAAGCGCGGCGCTCGCGCGGCCGTGGGTTTTTATACCCCGTCCCGCGCGTCGCCGCCTCTATGGTCGATGGCCATACTAATGCGCCAACAATTTAATATCTTAATATTAAGTCATGGCCCCTCTCGGGTATAGGCCTCCTCCAACCGTTTCCAATGTACTCTATCTCTTGCTGTATCCATCCAGTTGTCTCCTGCTACCTTTCGAAGGTCATCGGTCATCGGGCAAAGTATTACTGGGTTTTAAAAAAATCTCAGTGGTAGCACGGAGTCTGGAATTGTGCCCGGTATATAACAATAGGTTCACCCCTTATTACATGGGATTTATAACATAAATAGTGAAAAGTGGGTGTTACATTGTACAGTGGCATTAAGTGCCTTAATGTGCACCTCTAGCTACCCCTTCGGGGATAAAAGGTGTGATGTTATTTTATGCATGTTATTTTATGCAACAAACGTATTACTTTAATACCTCGTAAAAAAAACAAAAACTTTGATAATGTTTTATGTTGCTTAATTACATTGATAAATGAAGCAGATAGTTATAGATACATATGAAAGTCAGTTATTTAAGTTTTTGCATGTCATACAAACTTTTCCATTTTTATGCATATATAAAAATACCACTCTCATATCGAATACCAAGAAAATATACCTTTAAAATAATATGGTTCCTTACTTTTTTGATAATAAAACTAGGTTTTACCATCATCAGTCATCACACATGGCTAGGTTAATTGAAAGCGTTCTGCTTACTCCTGTTAACATTATACTCAACCCTAAAATTATGCATCTGTATAAAAAATGGAATATATTTTTATGGAATAGGAGGCAAACGAGCTGACGTATCACCTGATGGTGACCGATTAGCGCCGCCCACGGACATGAATGCCCCTGAATTTATAAGATGTGACAATATAAACGGAACGGCTAAAATAAGAAGCTGTTTTTATTATTTCGTGTCATTTCTCGGGGGCATGTCACAGAAGTCATAAACATTAAATGTAAGAGAAAATTTCGGGCCAATAGTTAAAAATACGGCTATAACAAATCGTTTAAGTTCAACAGTATTTCAGAAAAAGCGACAGCAATGTTTCTTATTGGAGTTTTATGAAATTAGGAAAAATATCAATTACGTGTTTGAGTTTGTGTGTGTTAAGCCGCGTTATAAAGCTAGTTACAAGACGGCGGCGTGTACTTCGCACTTACGGATATCTGTAATTTCAGAAAAATGAAAAATATTTACCTACAATTTTTTTTATTGATTCGGACTCAGCCGAGTTACCTCCTAGACAATGACGCGGCTTTAAAACAACACCTTGTATAGCTATGCTTAGGTACTTGCTTATTATTTTGACGATCATTTGTTTACACTTATAATCCAGCAGAACTTCAAGAGGTACCTATGGATCTTTAAACGTCGTGTGGTCGCCATAATAGGGTAGTTGCCAGAATGAAAATTAAAAATCTAACTAGTCCGTCAGTTAGATTACGAAAAAATATTAGACAAGCAATTTTTATTTTCTCGTAGAAAGTTACAATACTTAGATGAAATGGAGTTAAGTTTAAGAGTGGGAGGTCGTTACGTCACTAAGTGCTGCAAAATGTAGAGTATTGTGACGTCATACCATATTTCAGATTATTATATCGTCGAAAGTATTTAATTTTGTGAGAAAATAAAAAAATACGTGTCTAATGTTTTAAATTAATCTACCAGACTGACATTAAAATAAAATTTAGGCAACTACCCTATTAGTACCTACACATAATTTAACCAAACAACAGGTAAAGTAGCGGGTAATAAATAGTCAGTAATGATAATAAAAAAACTAAATGTCGTTATCACTATGATACATCGACAATCAGAGACTTGTTAAATGATTTATTACACGGCATTGCTTACGTACTAAGATACAAATTGAGATAGTAAAAATTATCAAAAGTAATTTCGATTACATTATCTACAGGTCCAGGCTTGCATTATTATCATACATTCTTTGTGTGTATATAATTAAGAATCCGTGCGTCTTTTTTAAAGGGGAAAAGTATTACATAACATCACGCCTTTTATCGTATAGTATATGGTAGGCAGAGGTATACATTATGCCACTGTACAATGTAACACCCACGTTTCACTGTTTATGTTATGAGTCCCATATAATAGGGGTAAGCCTATTGCCGTATACCGGGCACAATTCCAGACTCCGTGCTACTACTGAGAGTTTATAAAAAACAAATATTTTGTAGTCAAAAGCTTACACAAAACCTTCGAGCTCTCGAAACCCACAAATTCAGTATTTGCGTAAAAATAATATTCTGCACGTTAGTTAAAAAAAAAATTTAACTTTTATAGATACTGTACGGAACTCCCGATAAACAAAATTTGCTTTCGATAATTCTACATGTTTTAACTGAAACCTTTTCTCTCTGGAAGTTAAATAAAGAAGCGTTTTATTTGAGACACATCTATATGATATCTAGTAAGTGTACAAACAAATTATGAATGACGCAAATACCTAAATTTCTTATCATTGTCACTATTCTGTTTCATTAAACATCAATCTCGGATCACTGTTCAAAATTTTCCAAATTTTCGATAATTACTTAACATAACAAGTCACACACCCAATTCCACTTGCACTATCGATAAATTAAAATGCAAACAATCTTGTTTACAATGACATAAGAGTTGGTTATGTAATATAAAAAATATAGTTTGTCTGTGTGTTTCTTAAATTTAAAAGCCAGGACAAAATGTAGTAAAGTACGTCGTGCTATTAATGTATCAATCATTCTAAAGTAAAACTGTTTTTGTTCATAAATAAATAAATAATTGAATTAATTTAGACACAGGACTAGATTAAAGTCAGGCAGTCAGGCAGGTATCCCGATACGGAGCCGCGGAAGGCCTAACGGGTTGCCAGGGCTCCGGGTCGCAGAGCAGCAGTAGGAACGGAGTGGTTTTTAGTCAGTAAGCGTCTGACACTCTCTCTCGCCTATCCCAAGGCGGGATTAGCCATTGGATGATATTCCCCCTCAAAAAAAGTATGTAGGTATATGAGAAGTTACAGTAGAATTGAATATGTTACAAAAATAATTGGATGTCACATTGAATCCTTATTTGACATTCCGTCCAAGAACGAACGCGGACACAGTTTATATAGGTAGTGGAAAATAAATACATCACGTGGTTTCAACGAGTTTTTGTTGGACATTAAGGTATTGTTACACTGACACATGCTCATAAAAGCGGTTTATATATTTGATGGGCTGACGTTCGGCCACTATCTCGCCTGGTGGTAAGTGATGCGGCCTACGATCGATGGAGCACGATATGAGTCTGAGTATTCTATTGAGTATGAGCAGTTTACATTCGCTAGTTATTAGTGTAAGTATAACCTCTTTATACGCGCTTAAAACACACCCTCTTCCACCCGTACCGCAGTAGCCTGCTCAAAAATCGGACGCCTGTCGATTCGCAAGCATGCCCGAAATGAGCATGATTTATTGAGGAACATTCCGACAAACATACCACTGAGAAGCAAGTACTCAATTGAAGCATTCTGTCATGCTTGAAATGAGCATGTGTAACAGTACCTTTACATTTACATTTATTGCCCTGTCATTCTGATTTAGCAAAATTCTGAAGTGGTCATTATTTTTAAACTGATAACCGGTTGCTGGTAGCATAGGAACGTGATATTTATAAAAATGACCGACTAATAATGACTTGCTTTAAAAACGTAAATAAACGTCCGCATTATATATGTTTAATAATCTTGCTGATAAATGTGCATTACGTGTTTTGTTATATAAATTATATAATTAGGTATGTTTATTGTGTAGTAATCTGTATTTTGGCACAATCCAGTTTGATCCGGTTTACAGTAGTATTAAGCAAGTATTGACATTACAATTTAACTCATAATGTGACATTATATCGAATAACTGGTTTGGTACCGCTCACTTCTAGTTGTTACCGTGTAGGCATTGTATGTGTACTTACTCTTTGGTTGTGATAGAAGGGGTCGATGTCCTCGAGGGGTATGGAGGACACCTCCGCCGGAAAGGAGCCCTGCATTCGCACCGGCAGCGGCAGGCCCTGCTCCAGGGTCGCGTCCGGCTGAGGACCTTCGTCCTCGTCCTCGTCATCGTAACGCACCTAAGTTGACACAATTACAGCATTACAATACCATCAAGCATCATACGAATCAACTACAAAGGGGCCAACGGCAGATCCAAAGAACACAGCCTATCAACGCTCTTGAAACATTAAAGGCGCTATTACAAAGAATGCTAAAGTACTCTTTTTTGTTTCAAAGTCGACATAATGCTCCTGAGCTTCAGATAATGTCTGTCGTTCAAGAAAGAAAATAACACTCAGCTTATTTACATAGGAATATGAAATACGGAGCAATGACCTGAGGATCTGCGTTTGGCAAATACACCAAACTTCTATTAATTCGTTAATGAGCCACCCAGTTACCGTGTCCGTCTAGTTTACTTTTTAATATTTACTTACGCTTAGTCATTGTGCCAGTCCCATGACAGAGAGTCAAGCTAGCCTACAGTAAGCCTAGTGGTACAGACCATAATATCATGAGCTGAGTAATGCGTATGTCCTCGTAACAATACTGTTGGCCGCTCACACAACTAGTATTATTACAGAGTCAGTTGCTGGGCCAGCGTGTCTGTGAAGGCGTTCCAAGCTAGTTTTATTTTGTGTAGTGCTGCTGTCTGTGTGACTATGATGCGTATCTGGCATAACTAAAAGCATTTCAGTTTAACATTCCAACTATTATGTTACCATTCCGAATGTACGAACTATTTATTCCGAATACTTCGGCTGTGTATAACATCAGGGCAATATGTATCAGACTGACTATGACGTCTATTCGAAAACGGTCCCAGAATAGGAGGCGTGACTAGCGCAAGCCCAAAATGTTACAAAATACGATCCATAACCAACAAAATTTGATATTTATCAGAATTATTGTTAATTGTTTACACTATTATGCACTAAACGCTAGCTAGGTGATGCCACCATGATAGACCTAGATGACGGCAGTCGATGATGAAGTGACGAACATGAGCCAGTCCTGTGCAATGCTTGAAATGGTATGTTATGTGCTGGTGTACTTTGATCGCTAACGGTTATAACACCTGGAGATCCTACCATTTACATGTTACCGTTATATAATAAGGGGACTCTCAAATCGATTTATTCCTATTGAAAGTTATTTTGGTCTAAAAGGGCATTGACTACGTAAATTCAATCATCAATTAATTCTATTACCGGGTTCAAGGTTGGCTAGTGGTTCTGCTATATCTAAACAGGGATATCACGTGTTTCTGTCACTTACTATAAGGAAGGGTACTCAGTTTTTATGAATGGTGGGACTAAGTACTATCGTTTTGGTTATTGCATTTCTTTCTTTATATTTCTTTTTGTCTTTATGTTTTTTCTTCAGTCAAACTAGGAGTTATTTACTTCATCGAAATGCAAATAAACATGACAAGCTTTCATTGTATCTACATTAAGATTAGCTGTTACGATTTCTTGAAACCATTTCATTGTTTTCAATGGAGCAACAGCTAAACTTGTCAACACAGTTTTTACAGATAGTTTGCCAACAAGCGATGTGTTAAGGATAATGCTTTAAATGCGGTCATATGCATAAATCAGAATGCACTACAAGTTATCGCACTTGAACAAATGTGTCGCCAATGTTTGTGGGAGCTTGCAATATCGTTCATTCAAAGAAATTTCGTTTGTGAAAGCGATAACTTGCTGAAAAAGTTTTCTCTAAAAAAACGAGCCGTAAAAATGTAAAAGGGGCAGGCAAGCATTCTTACTTCTTTTTTCTTTTTCGTCCGCCCCAAATCGTTCTGGAATAATTTAAAAATTATTCGTCAGAGTTTTAGCTTCCGTTCTCTCCGTAGCTAAACTGTGTGTGCCACACGATTGTTGTAACAGTGATGTCTTTGTGTGCTAACTAACATTATATCACTCGTGTACTTGTTCAACGTTTGTAAATATTCTAACAGTTTTACAGTGTATTTTTTTTTGATAATTTAGTTTTTTTCGGCACTCGACACACGTGTGTTGTGTAGTGAGTGAGGCAGTGTACTCACCTCGCCTTCCGCTCGTTTTTTCTCGAGTTCCTTTTGTTTAGCATGCTCCTCAGCTATGCGGGCTTCGATAGCGGCCAGTGACTCTCTTGTGAAGGGTCGGAACAAGCTTCGTTCTTCCTCGCTGATCGAGTCCAAGTCCTCGGACATTGTCTATCGAACTCCCCCCGAGTGAACTGCCTACTGTATTGGAAAGAAATTGTATTAAAAATTGTTCATCAGAAAATTTTAGGTTGCGTATATTTTCTTGTTGCGTTTGTCCTGGATTTGTGTCCAGTACGTTTATAATATAAATTGGATTAATAACATAACCATTTAAAATACTTTGGGTAATAAAAGCGTGATGTTCTTATATGTATGAAATTATTATCCACAAAAGCTTATCGAAATTATACAAAGTAACGATTTACGATAGTTGGCGTCTATCCAAAACAATAACCAAGCAAGTTGAAGTGACCTTATTTTCTTTTGTAAGCTGTTAGCCTTGATAGCATTCTGTACAAAGAAGATACGTATTCATGTTCTATAAGATTAATATCACTTTCAAAATACGTTTTTAAGTAAAAATAACACAATTTGTTACTTGTGTAAAATGGTTTTGTATTCTACTAGTATATTTGACACAGTCGTATCTATCACGGGTCAGGCAAAGTATTACTGGGTTTTAAAAAATTCTCAGTGGTAGCACGGAGTCTGGAATTGTGTCCGGTATATGGCAATAGGCTCTTTCAATTACATGGGGCTTATAGGATAAATTAGTGAAACGTGGGTGTTACATTGTACAGTGGTATTAAGTGCTATAATGTTATGTTGTTATGTTATGTCGTATCTACTACTTATCATCTCAATAAAGTTGCTAAAGAAATCATACTTCACCATGAACCCTTTGTAGCATAATTAGTCAAACTATATATTAATGTTGTGCAAATAAGGAAAAAACATACAGATAACATATTTAAAGTTATGCTTTTACTACTGGTTACATTAAATTTTACCATACCAAAGAAAAAGAATATAGAAATCTTCTGTTACCCTATTTTCTCCGGTCAAAAAATCTCTGAATAACATGAAAATAAGTAGGTAACTGCAGGGCGATTACAAGATTATACTCATAGTAAGGAGGCGTAAATGATTTATACAAATTATAAAGAGGATGAGATGCGGTTATATTAACAATATAATTTCCCTTACAGCGCCTCTGGGGCTCTACAAGACGGTGTTTGTGCCTTACCGAACCAGGCCAAGGCCACCATTTATATTGTACGTTACAACCTTACTTTCATAGGGTATTTTATTTATTCCCTTTCTTTATCGCTTTGGGATAGCTTATATAAGATTAATATTTGTACAAATAATAATTTATTGGCTAGTTTACGGGTTGTGTAACCATAACTAGTTCGTTAGTTTAATTTTCGTATTGATCTTTGATTCGGTAGTTTGTACGACCTACTCGTGTGTGAGTAATGATTATATTCTCATTTAATTCATCATTTAAATTAGATATGAGAGTATTGATACACTGAAAATTGAGACTAAAATAAATTCACATAACGACTAATTTACACTGACTATGGCTACAAACAAACAGTTATTAAAAAACCAAAGTATTAGAATATACCTTATTCCCATGTTTTGTACTCTGTGTCTGTTACAAACATGTTCAACGTAACTTGAACATATGAAACGAGGACGTACAAACACTGTATAATCTTGATTTCTGAGTACATGTCTATGAACAGGATGATAAATCTCTTTTTTTAGGTAAATTCTTCGAAAATATTCCAGAATATCACACAGACCTATTTCTTTGAAGAGTAGATAATCCAGTCATTTCTTCGACATGTACGCAATGCGGGACGGCCGACGGGAAATTATATCTTTCCCGCAGTGCGTATTCGTAGTGACATCTCCACTTATTTCTTTTGTTCCAAATTCGGTATCAAAGTGTCAAACACTTAGACATGAGGTAGCACTAATTCTTAGTTCAATATAAACATGCTTAGAGTATCCAATACTCCAAGTAAACATGTAAACAATACTTGTAAGTGTGTATTAATTCTTTACCTTTACCTTTAGAGCTCATTTTCAGACGAACCTGAAGTCTTAGGCAGAAAGTGCCCAAATGATTTTCCCCTTAGTTTTAGGTATACTTACTAAGCGATGGAAATGAGTAGTTTTTAAAAAAAGTTTCAAATCTCTTATACACCCTTTGCTACACTCTGGCCTAATCTCCAAATACTCAAACACCACTTAATAAGACGCGTTTAAGTTTGTGATGTGGTACGATATTTAAGTACAACTTAAAATTGAGTTGCCTTTCAGTATTCGGGCGCAAGTTAATTTCTCTAGGAAATACGAAATCATAGTAGCTTGGATTCTATAGTATTGTCGAGCTGCTTGCGGTAAACCCTGAATGATTGCCTAACCCTATTGATAACCGTATATAAATCAGATTAAAAGTTTTTGAGTAATACATACCTTCATTTTGTGTGAATAAAGTATTAAAATAAGTGATCTAGTTTCCAATATATTAGTAAAACATGTTTAAGTACCTGCTAACAGTGAATGGGCGGGTGTGTGTGGTGCGGGAAACGCGTGCGGCTACACGCTCCACGCCCGCGTTCTCCCGCCGACCACCTACGGGCGGACCGCCCTTCTGCGGAACAAGACAAACATTATCTTTACTAGGTATACTTTGAAATCAAAATATAAATAATATCGTGGTCGCGGCGATGTCGCGCAGCCTATTCAGAACCCCTCTGTGGTTCGAAACCAGTTCTCGTTTCTCAGTATATTCACATGAGTAACCTGCGATTTTTTAGTTAATTTAGTATGTAAGAAAGAAGAAAGAAAGAAAGAAAAATCATTTATTTGGCAATTACACGCACAGAAAACAAAGAATATAAAAAAAAATAAAAATACCTCTACAGAATACATACAATACATACAGAATTTTGAATAAACAATAAAAAAAAAAAATATGTCTCGCGATAGTTATTATAAAAAATAATATTGCGGTTTTGTTGTTGATTTTTTTATGGGATAAGCCAGTCAATGAGCAGACGGATCACCTGATGGTAAGCAATCGGCGTTACAAGTGCGTTACCGATCTTTGGGGAATTGGGAATTTGAGGATTGTGGAGGATTAAGGGGTTGGGGCGACTGGGGCTGGTAATTGGGCCTCCTCAGACCTCGGACCTCAGTAGTAGAAAAAATTCTCAGTTGTAGCACGGGATTTGGAATTGGGCCCTATACCTATGGCAATAGGCTCACCCTCTATTACATCGGACTCATAACATAAACAACAGTGAAAAGTGTGTGTTGTATTGTACAGTGGCGTTAAGTGCCGTAATATGGACCTCTGCCGGACATCGGGGATAAAAGGTGTGATGTTATGAGATCCAAGTGCTTTGGAAAAAAATTATTCACTTTGAAAACTTTACATAGGAAAAAATACTTTACAAAACTTTATGTAGGAATCGTAATAATTGGCATTCCATAGTCTCTGCCTAACCCCATGGGAGACAGGCGTGATGTAGGTATGTATGTAAAACTTTATATATTCAAAGAACACTTGTAAAATAATCCTACTTCACAGAAATATGTAATACATTTATTTCGTAATCTGCCTCTTAAGAGGGTCTGATGTCTATAGAGTACCTACTGAGTATCATCCAAGGCTGAATTAATAAATCATATAAAACTGTCCCGATACCGGTCACTGACACTGGACTTTAAATCATACCTATTATTACGCTTTAATATTTTTTTCTTGGATTTAAATATTTTTGCATAATTTAAAGTAGGTTATTAATGTGGGTATTGATTTATTTCAGGTGTCGTAAGCTCATACACCCATATAGAGGTATATATGTATATATTTTTTATTATATAATGTTATGTATATTATAATAAAGTTATGGCTATTGTCGTTTTTAATCATGGCAAAAACTGATGAACAGCCGTTTTATGCTAATGGTGCCACCATTACATCTACCGGTTTAGATTTTTATTTCTAGATTTATAAGGTTTAAATGCTAGGGTGTAAGAAAATATATATTTAGCGGTTGTTGTATGGTCGTGTATTGTAAAGATTTCGATTATAAGCATAAATGAGATTTTAGTTCAATAAACGATTATACGCAACGATCAGGGCCGCGCCGACCCCCGGCAGCGCCTGTGTGCGGAATCGATGGAGCGCCTCTTTTTTACCGACTTCAAAAAAGCAGGAGGTGCTATGTTCGGCTGATTGATTTTTTTGTTTGTTCGCACATTACTCCGCCATTTGTACACCGATTTCCAAAAATCTTATTTTGTTTAAAAGGGTATACTCTCGAAATGGTCCCATTTCCATGAGCTCAGAATCTGATGATGGGATCCTAGGGAAACCGAGAGGAACCGAGGAGAACTTTCGAAAATTTTTTACCTTGTGTTTGTACTAAATTAATCAAGCCCAAGCATAGGGTAGTTAATAAAAACAGCTGAGGAGTTCTCTCGATTGTCTGTCGGCTCCATCATCAGGTCAACTCCAGACCGTTATCAAATTGTAGTGTTTAAAAATCGTAATTGAAAAACATAATAGACTCATTACTCGCCCATAGAATTTTCAAAAGTTCCCCTTGGTTTCCCTTGGGTCCCATCATCAGATCCTGACCTCAGAATCTGATGATCATTTCCATGAGCTCAGAATCTGATGATGGGATCCTAGGGAAACCGAGAGGAACCGAGGAGAACTTTCGAAAATTTTTTACCTTGTGTTTGTACTAAATTAATCAAGCCCAAGCATAGGGTAGTTAATAAAAACAGCTGAGGAGTTCTCTCGATTGTCTGTCGGCTCCATCATCAGGTCAACTCCAGACCGTTATCAAATTGTAGTGTTTAAAAATCGTAATTGAAAAACATAATAGACTCATTACTCGCCCATAGAATTTTCAAAAGTTCCCCTTGGTTTCCCTTGGGTCCCATCATCAGATCCTGACCTCATGGAAATGGGACCATCTCGGGAGTATACCCTTTCAAACAAAACAAGAATTTTCGAAATCGGTTCACATATGGCGGAGTACTGAAAAAAAAAAACAATCAGCCGAACATACGTACCTCCTCCTTTTTTTAAAGTCAGTAAAAAGTTCAATGCGCACCTTACACACACTTTCAATCAAATGATTGTTCAATTGTTTTGTTTTAGCTTGACTCTCTCGTTCGTTAAAATCGGGGAATCCCTGTGACCCTACTCCTATAGCCTCGCACGCATCGCATCGGGTTGCGTTCACAAACTCACTCATACTTACTCATACAAAGTCGGCGCCTTTATGATTCAATATAACTAGTAGGTACCTACTTTATCTGTGGTTCAAAAGATCTGCCGCCGTTTAAACGTTGATCTTGTAACTCGTAAGTAATTTAAACTAAAACCCTAAGTGTAAAATGAAACCATAAACGTGATTAATAATAAACATAAATATTGAGAGACTTGTTTAATAAGCGTAATATAAGTTTTGTTGTATACAAGGCCTATGTTGCGCCTATTGTACCTACTTACTTATCGATACTCTACTACCAAAAATATAATAATTAAGGTAACAAAAATAATTCAAGTAGAGGTGGTGGCGCGACACGGCGCCCCTATTGTCTTGGCGCCTGTGTGCGCCGCACACTTTGCACACAGGGGCGGCGCGGCCCTGGCAACGATTAAATGACGAAACGAAACAATGTTTCGGATCCGAAGTCTTACCAAACAGAGTCAGAGGCATATTAACACCGACAAAAAAGAATGGTCTTTCAAAAGAATCTAATACCTCGTGCTATAGATATAAAATTTAAAATACACTGTGCGAGGAATTCTAAATATCGATGGCAAAAACAGTACCTCGTAGATTGTAGAGTAATTTCTTAACTCCTCTCGAACTATATTAGTGAGATTAGCAATTCTAGGCGGTTTTCAATTAGAATTGTTAATACCTCAACTGATTTTGCTTTCAATGAATTAAGTACCTACTGCAACAGTTGGACTTATGTACATACATCTTGTTTAGCTTTCATGCAATTTTAATCTGTCTGTAGTTTAAATAAGCTAATCTGCTAAATTCATAATCCTCGATCATTGATCAGTCAATAGTCTCGTTATGGAATTGTAGTAGAATGACATTGTAGTATTGCGATTATTATAAAACTTTGTAGTTAGTGGAAATGATTTTCGAAAAACTACTATTAGTTTTGAACATTTTTGCCGCGGAGAACTTAACGGGTTACCGGGGCTCCGGATCAATGTGTAAGAGTAGGAACGGGGTGGTTTTTAGTCAGTAAGAGTCCGACACTTCCTCCCGCCTCACTCGTGCGGGAGGAGTCACTGGATGATTTTCCCCCCTTAAAAAATAGTTTTGAACATTTATTCATGCCATATGTTATTTATATTTTATTTTACGAAATATCTGTCATTCATTACGCACGAGATTTATCATTTTATGTCATTACTTTCAATGGTGTGTCAGTGGTTGATCATTGGAAAGTCATAATGACGCCATTACATTAGTAGATTACCAAACTCTTGAAAATCAACAATTTTGTAATCAATGGTTGATCATTCTGACACTATTGTAATAGCAGACCGTTTGAACATCAAAGTTAAGTTTCGTTTAGATGTAAAAGTTTTGAGTCATCAAAACCAATACAGATTGAGATTAATTTAGTCTGTCCTGCTTGAATTTTCACCTTAGCACATAGGTATTACAGTGTGTTTTTCTTATATATTCTCTTGGGACATTTAATAAACAGGTGAATACTCATTCACCTGTTTATTTATCATTAATGTGACCTTTTAGGTAGAAGTTTGTTATGGAGCTTGACTTATAAGTAGTTGGACTTATAGGAGCTTGACTTATAGACATGATTGATTAGTTAAAAAACCACGCAATATTAGTAGGCCTCTCACGTTGCAAGTTCTATACATTATTTTATGCAGTGAACATAAATTTAGTCTAACAACAAAGTTTGGTAATACAAAAACATAAGAACTTTATCATTGCGCACGTGTTTGAAATGATCAACGATCAGGTTATTAGTAGTCAGTAACTACTTATGTTTTTTATGGTAAAACTAAGACTACCAAGAAGCTAACTCAAGGTTATTTATAACCGACTTCCCAAAAAGGAGGAGTTTATCTATTCGGCTGTATGTTTTTTAGTGTGTATGTTACCCGATCACTCCGGCGTTTGTGGATGGATTTTGATGATTATTTTTTGTTGGAAAGGTCATATTCTCGAGGTGGTCCCATGTCCAAAAGGTCAGGATCTGATGATGGGATCCCATGGAAATCGAGGAAAACCGACTTATTAATTATCAGTGGGTGGGTAACCTATATGACAAATAATAGTTATATAAGTGATAGTTATATAAGTAGTTATATAAGTTATATTATATATGTAAGTGTGATGATAAATAAATAAATAAATAAGTACGTATGACTAATAATAGTTATTTTTTGCATTTTACTTTTACCTTTTGCTTGTTTTTAGGATTTGGTTTTATAAGAATAACTTTAAAGAAACACGTTAATGTAGGTAATGATGTCTCGATATATTTTTGTACTATGCATGCTGGTATAATAACTTATTACATACATTTTTAACCAGTTTTGTTTTTAAGTTAAGGATCTGTTTCATAATGTCTGATTCAAGTTTGTGTTAGCCTAAATGACGGATAATAATTTGATGTGTTTTTATATGCAGTGTGCCTATAGCATTAGGAATGATGACGGGGTACGATTCGTTTTATCTAAGCATTGTTCTCTTATACGACAAAATAAAAAAAATACGTGTCTAATATTTTTTCATTACCTAACTGACGGACTAATTAGATTTTTAATTTTCATACCCTGTCATCATCCCTATTTACAAATCAGAATACTCAACAATTTTTCGTTCAAGCCGCAAATTGTAACGAAGCGTAAGTTAAATGCTATGAACCTAATAGCGTTTGGGATAGACCGTGACTGTTAAACCAATCCCGGGATTATTCTTCTCCAAATATTATTGGACTTATCAATTTGGGTATGTCAGTGTTAATGCGGAGTTTGATATTGTGATTAGTTAATGGCTACTGAGTTTACGATTTCTAAATATTATAGCCACTAGCTTGACCAATAAGATTAGTTTAAATACTTGGATTGTTTTATTTTTACTTTTTTCAGTTACTTGAGGTACATGTCCTGTTACTACTAAAAACCTTTTTACCTCCCCTTTTACAGTGTATTCAGGTCTTAACCTAGACAACGACCTAACGTTTTAACCTAGTAATGTGTCAAGTGTAAACATTATTATAATACTTTAACATTGTACGATATAGCGTACATAAACTTTATTTTAATTTAAAAATAATGGTGCAAAGAGGCTACGCGTCGAGTTATGCAACAAGTTTACTATGACCTTGCTTTGTATGATCGTTTAGCACGTTCAACAGTCAATTTATACTGGTTTTGTGTAGGTTGATAAGTAGCCATGTATTGCCATAAATATTTTCAAATTATTTGTAAGACTGACCTGTCGTCCGCGAGAGCAGTGTGACTGCGGCTACTAGAGAGATGAAAGTTACCACTCGATCGCTGATAGGGACAGCCAGCAAATGGGCAAGATTTTTCATGACCGACCTGTAACAAGAAATAGGTAAGTTATAGAATATTGTACAGTTTTTTAGTTGTCTCTTTCTTTGTTGGCTAATGATAAGTGACAGTTGAAAAAAAATGCAAAAATATGCGATAAAAATTGTGTTTGAAACTAACACTGTTCACTTTTTTATGATAACAGCGGTTAACGAACAGACGGGTACCTAAATAAATTATTATGTTTTCGGCTTACTCACGTAATAATTTGACGAGGAACTCGACTAGTTTCAAGGCATGCTAGAGGCTCATATTCATGAGTCTAGTCTAGTTCCTCGTCAAATTATTACGTGAGTAAGCCGAAAACATAATAATTTATTGAGTATGTCTCACTAAAGTTACAATACAAAGACGGGTACCTGATGGTAAGCAATCGGTGCCACCCATGGACAGTCGCAATAATAGGTGCAAGGGCATTGCCGGCCTTTTTTTTGAGGACTTTAATTGCCATTGTATGTAAATTTGATGTTCAAATATGTAATTACCGTATATAGTGCAATGCCTAGGGGTGTGTGTAGGTCTAGAGGGCGCGCGGGATGGTGGCCGCCTCGCCCGCTGGCCGCGCGCGCTCCTCTCTCCAGTTTTGGCGCGCGCGCAACATCTGCGTCAGCCCTCAGCCGCGTCTGTACAACAAGGATAAATATTTTTAATCATGATGAAAAATACGAAGTAAAACTTAAAGTTACTTTTGTTATTTTAAATACAATATCACCCGTTATTAGAGCGTAACTATAATATTCGTTTGTAAATATAAAAGAACATCTTGTACTTAAGGAATCAGCACCTCAAGAAAAATTTACTTTGTCAAACAAACAATTAACCACTGCATTATTAGTGTGTCACGTAAATTAGATTTTTTTTTAATCTACTTCAATTTTACTAACGATTGATACTGCGATAAAGTTGTTTTTAAACATGAACAATAATCTTCTAACAGCATTATTTATTTTACTCCACATGTAGATACTAACTATGTTAGTTGATTAATTTAGATTTTGTATATTTGAAACGATAGATGTCCTCACAGTACCTTCTCAAATCATATTCAAAAATAAAACTTAAAAGAAATGAACTTGCACTTTAAAGAAACGTGTACCATATGTCCTTAATAGTTTGCCGGCCGACATCAGACAAGAAAATAACATAAGACTGTTTAAAATTAAGTTAAAGAAATACTTCTGAAAAATACTTGAGTAGTTACAATGTTATTAGTAGTTTATTTATACAATCTATGAGTGTATGTAAAGCAATGCGGCTCACCACCCACAGTCAAACCGCTAAACCGGTTTTATGGGAATAAGTTGTTAACTCAATATGTACACTGTTATGATTATAAATAAATAAATAATAATAATTTAGTACGGAACAAAGCATCTCCTTATATTTGAAAAATTAAGCGATCGACATAATAATTTTAATAATAAGGCCCGCAGGGCACCTTGAGGCGAGGTGACGGGCATTAGCGACCCCGCAGACTACCATCATCCCGAGTGCTCCAGAGAGAAGTCACCGTTCCTTATTCTCCGGCTTGCCTTAATTGACTGACTGGAGTGAACGATGACAAGGAACAGGTCTCCCACCTCTGGCTTGCCTTCATTGGCCGTCCAGAGTGGAGTCGCGAGAGCAGTGATCCTGCTCTGAGGGTACGAAACTATTCGTAAGTCGCGAGTGGGCCAGAGATGCAGGAGGCTTCGGCTGGAGCAAATGATCTGAGTATAAAGTTCCCGGGGCCCGGTCGGTGAGTTGGCGTTTACATTGTTTCGGCAGGTGCCATAGTCATCCATAGTTCCCAATTTTCCAGTCCACAGCAACCCATCTATAAACCTACCTTTTTTCCATTATCCACAATAATTCTACAATCTACACTAACCGGGGACTGTCCTTGGGTGCATTTCCATAGTGCATACAGGGATAGTGGCCGGTTTGTGTGTCCATTACATTTAGATTAAAGTTGTCTAAAGGGCCTCTGCGCAGTTGGCTTCGGCCCCTCGTACGCCTCCCAAATGACCGGGTGTGGTCCCGTGAATGGTAAAGACATTAATAACAATAATTTTACGAACATCGTAATTCCGACTGTCCAAAGTACAGAAATTCTTCATGGGATTATGTGTTGAATGTTATAAAAAAATACCAAGTAATACATTGAATCTTGAAAAAAACTTGTATAAAACGCGAACTATGTAAAAAAGCGTACCACAAACTGTCACATTATATTGAAGACTAGCTTCTGCCAGCGGCTTCTCCCGCGTTCCCAAGGGTAAAAAGTAGCATATATGTAGCACTTTAGGCCGCAGTCTATCTCTGTTCCTAATTCCATCCCGGTCTCTTCAGCTGTTTTGATATGACTGAGTGACAAACATACACACAAACACACAAATATCAGTTCAAGCTAATTTCAACTATTTGATATAATAACTACCTCATTAGCCGATTAGTCGCAAGTACGACTGCTGGGCAAGGGGTCACGGGTTCGATTCCCAGGTCGGGCAATGCATTAATGGGTTTAAAAAAACAGTAGTAGCACGAAACCTGGAATTGTATATGGCAATAGGCTCACCCCCTATTACATGGGACTCATAACATAAATAGTGAAAAGTGGGTGTTACATTGTACAGTGGCATTAAGTGCCGTAATGTGCACCTCTACCCCTACATCGCCTACCCCTTCGGGGATGAAATAAAAGGCGTGATGTTATGTTATGTTGATATAATAACGGGCAACAACCGGTTATCTTAGTGTCAATTTTATGTCAACAATTTGTAAAATAACTGTTCATTATGTTTTACATTAATCATTGTTCTAACAACCTCTGAAGATAAACCACTTAAAATATTCGTTTATGTTAATTTGAACTGTACATACATATATTTAATGTTTATTTTTAGAAAAAGTCAAGGTAAACATACCAGCCTAGTCGTAGTTTAAAAAATATATACTCTATAGACAGGTAGGTAGGTTTACGCGAATTATTATTTGTGAATAGAGTAAGTATGTAGATTAAGAAAAAAAACAACCGAATGAGAAACAAAAATAAGGTATTGTAATTTGAACTATATATCAGATGTGGTAAAGGTTATAGGTTACTTCAATTAAAAAACATAATATTAAATACATATAGTTTTTGCTCTAGCTTTTGCTCATGACTTCGTCCTCTTGAAATAGACGCTTTGGGCATGATTATATTTTTTTTCTAAGCAAGTCCTATTTCTGTACTAAACATAACAGACAGAAGTACTTTTTTAACCGGCTTCAAAAGTATCTTTCTTGTTCAGTATAAGGATACTTAGAAAATAACGCTTCAGTGCCTAAATATAGAAGGCAGTGGGCAGGATGGGAAATTACTGTCGACAACATTGTAACAACATGTAATCAAATGTATGTGTACCTATAGTTTGGGACACATAGGTCTAACTAATTAGGTATAAGTAGCTACACCTTTTATAGGGCCTTTTAAAGAGGTAATCATAAAATAATAGTATAATGAATACTTAAACCGCACAAACAGACAATAGGAACGGTTTGCATTATGACGTGACGTATCTTGTATAAAACAAGTGGTTAAATAACAGTTCTATGCATATCACAGAACCCACAGATTGTGCGAAGAACTCCTCAAAATGTTGCTGTTATATCTCCCGATAGTGCTGACATCTTTCATATATATATTGTATTTGTACTTTACAAGGACTTTTAAGTATTGGAAAAGCAGAAAAGTTCGCGGACCAGAACCAACCGTGTTCTTTGGTAACATCAAGGAATCAGCTCTTCGCCAAAAAAATATTGGCGTGATAATGCAAGAAATCTACAATAACTATCCCAATGAAAAAGTTGTCGGTGTCTACAGAATGACTTCTCCTTGTCTCCTTATACGAGACTTGGAAATCGTTAAACATATCATGATCAAGGATTTCGAAGTGTTCGGTGATCGCGGCGTTGAATTCAGTAAGAAAGGACTGGGACAAAACTTGTTCCACGCTGATGGAGATACATGGACAGCTTTGAGGAATCGGTTTAGCCCAATTTTTACAACGGGTAAATTAAAAAATATGTTTTATTTAATGAATGAAGGTGCTGATAATTTTGTGGAGCATATCAGCACGGAGTGTCAAAAGAAGCAAGAGTTTGAAATACATTCTCTTCTCCAAACCTACACGGTGTCTACCATATCTGCTTGTGCTTTCGGAGTTGGCTACGACAGTCTAGATGACAAGTTAGAGACGCTTAAACTCGTGGACCAGATCATTTCAGCACCAACATACGCTAATGAATTAGACATGATGTACCCAGGACTTCTCACATCCCTCAATCTTTCTATTATTCCCGTACCTATACAGAAATTTTTCAAAAATCTTGTCGATAACATCATAACTCAAAGGAACGGTAAACCAACGGGAAGAAATGATTTTATGGACCTAATACTAGAACTTCGTGAAATGAGAGAAGTCAATTATACAAAATATGGAAATTTTGTAAAGCCTCTAGAAATAACTCCTGAGGTGATGGCAGCGCAAGCTTTTGTATTTTATGTGGCTGGGTATGAGACAAGTGCAACCACTATGGCCTACCTGATGTACCAACTAGCGCTGAATCAAGACATCCAAAACAGATTGATAGCTGAAATTGACGAAGTAATTCAAAGGAATACTGGAGAAGTGACATACGACATGATTAAGGAAATGAAATATTTGAACAAAGTATTTGATGAGACTCTACGAATGTACTCAATTGTAGAACCTCTGCAAAGAAAAGCCACAAGAGACTACCAAGTGCCTGGGACTGACCTGGTAATAGAAAAGGGTACAATAGTTTTGATATCCCCGAGAGGAATTCACTATGATGAGAAATATTACGACAATCCTGAAGTATTCAACCCTGACAGATTTGACCCGGAGGAGGTGGGCAAGCGCCATCCGTGTGCTTACTTACCATTTGGACTCGGACAAAGAAACTGCGTCGGTAAGTTTAACATGCAAATTATCTTTAGGTATTCTTTATGCTTATACTATAATAAGTAAAAAGCACGTAAGCGTATGAGTTATAGACGTCGGTACCTACGTAATATTATTATGTTTATCTCTAAATATTTATTTTTATTTTCAGGCATGCGATTTGGCAGAGTCCAGTCTCAGTTATGCATTGTAAAGGTCTTGTCCAAGTTCCGAGTGGAACCGTCGAAGAATACAGACAGGAATCTAAAGGTTACTCCACACCGAGCTATCATTGGACCAAAAGGGGGGATCCATCTTAATATTATTCCTAGAAAAATGAAAGCTTAGGATGAAGATTGTAGTCTGGAAAATCTACGTAAATAGATATATGTACAGTACAATTATGTTATTACTTAAAACAAGTTCGTTAAACTGTATAGTTTATTTAAATAGTTCATTTTAACCTCGTAATATCCTTGAGATTATTTTTAAATGATATTAAAAGTAAGTTTACCAATTTCAAGGTGAATATCTGTGTACCCCTAGTGAACCTAGATAGACCTCGCCATACATTTTTCAGGTGTGGAAATCTCCGTAAATAAACTATTTCTGTAGAATAAAAGCAACTATAATGAGACTTTATAATGCATTATGTTCGCGTATGGCCCACACTTTATTTTATTGTGCACAAAAGGACTGTTTAGGTTCGAAATAAATTTTAATTGTAAGTAAATATTTTTAGCATAGTGTTAGGAAAAATGTGTGTCATGTTGTAACATATTGATAGCCGATGCTCCGACTGAAAATAAATAAATGAGTTTACATTATTGGAAATTTAATTTAATTGTAAAATATTTCACCTATTTTTTATTATAGGAACTACGAATACATATATCTTTTATTACAAGTATGATATTGATAATACAGTTGTAAACATATATTGTTGAATCACAATAAGGAGTTACGCAATCGGTGTGACCTTGAGACCCCACTGAGCCACGAGACCGTTTCAATTAAGTACCGTACTCGGCAATGCGTGTACGACGCAATTGTAAAATTAGGTGAGTCAATTGTTAATTCACGTCCTACTCAGTCCATTTGGTGTTTTGAAGAAAACTGAACTAAATTGAGTATTTTTAACTTTATTACGTTTCGTTCGTGATGTTACTATACATTACACATCTTTTATTCTTCAACTAGCTTTTGCCTGCGGCTTCGCCCGCGTTCATGTTCAAAAAGACTATGTATGTATGAATCTATGTTTTATTCCAGACTAGCTACTTCCGCGCGGTTTCGCACGCTCTGCTCAGCTCCTATTAATCGTAGCGGGATGTTTTATAGCCTATAGCCATCCTCGATAAATGCGCTATCCAACACAAAAAGAATTATTCAAATCAGACTTTTAGTTACGGAGATTAGCGCGTTCAAACAAACAAACAAAAAACAAACCCTTCCGCTTTATATAATAGTATAAGATAAGATTATAATCTTCTCCTGTTCCAAATTTCACAACGATCCTTCAGTCGTTTTGACGTGAGTAACAAATAAATAGACAAACTCATTCATAATATTAGTAGTATTGTGTAGGGAAAGATTGACTGAGGGTGCCCTTTTAGCGAGATGTATTTATTACTTATATTGTATAAGATTACTTAACTAATATTCCAAGGCTAATCACTACTATGTTAATCTATTTATAAGAACAACGTTTATCAAAGCGCACAAAAAAGACAAAAAACGTATGTATGTTTATCAAAAACCCGCGTGATAACATTAGTACAACACTTTATTAACATAAATACTACATGTTTTTATCTATAGGTAGTAGATTTTTTGTTAAAGGAGAAACCTGAACTCCTTAGAAGCTTAGACCTGGCGATAGAGCTGGAATTTTGCCATATTTTAGAGCATTTAGGAAGATTTCACGAGCCCAATTTTCACGTCTCTCTGCAATGGACAATTTGGTAAAATCAGACAATGTTTATATGTTAGGTTATTTTTTTATTCTTTTAACTGCCCGATACTTTTTTTTTGTTCCATATGTAAGCGAAGGTCAGTTAGAAGGCAATGAGTTTCGGTCCAGTATTCAAACAGAGATAAATTGTTATTATACTCGAGAATTAGAAAAACACATTCACTAACGCAAGTATAGGAAAAGCGAATGACACATAAAACGAACGATGACATTATTGACAGACGTTGACATTGACAATTTCACATTTGCCATTTCTAGTGCAGTCCATGTGCAATACGAGTTGCAATCGATTTAGTATAGTAGTTTTTTAATTGTGCTATCGTTTTAAAATAATATTAGATTTCAGCATTTTGTATTTTACAATGATTTCAATATCTAAAAAGCAATTGTACTAAAATAATGGAGTATTATTCAATTATAATTTGTAATTAATATCCGCTAAATCGATAAGATTCTTAGGTTATGCTCTATTTATAGGTTTAATGCCGGTGTTTGCAAAGTAAGTAACGTATAATGAAATAAATGCTGTAACCGTTTACAAGGATTGTTACAAACACAAAAATAGAAATGTCCTTTTTTTAAAACTTGGCCATTGTAATTGAGGTTAAGATTTAAATTAGTTAATTAAGCAAAACAGTAGATTTTTTTGGTACATATTTCATTCGTATAACGCCAGGCCCATAAATGGGTTTCTCCTTTAATAACAGTATAGAGGCAGGAATTTGATCTCAACATCGTTTGTTCTACGTCTGTTTTAAACAGGTTTGGTGCACCTGTCTTTATTTAAAAAAATCCTTTTTGATGTTACATCATGACGTCGCCACGCCTGTTTATCAATGAAAGAGATAGAAATTGTCTACTATTTACCATAATACACATTCATCAAGTACCATTTTCCTCAATGTCGGTTTAAATTATACCTTTTGTCTTTCCATGGGTATATAATTTGCCATTTGCGACACAAACAAACATACATGCGACTATTGACATTTTCGAAGTTAATCAGATATTGATAAAAAATGTTATAAGCCTTGATAAACACGTTTATCAAAAACAAAACTTAGGTATTATATTTTAGTAACAATAACAACAACAAACGTGTCTCACCAACAATATAACAACAACAATATAAGATCTAATGGTTCATTCATTCATTCAATTCACATTATTCCGTGACTCAGTTGTGTACTCCCTGCAATGTGCGGAATAAACTTAATACTAGTGATAATAGTGTTATGTGCTTGTTTATACTATTACTTTACAAGGACGTTTAACTACTGGAAGAAGAAAAATGTTCGTGGACCAAAACCAACAGTCTTTTTCGGAAACATCAAAGATGCAGCGCTGCGGAACAAAAATCACGGCATTGTCATTCAAGAGATATACGACATGTTTCCGAATGAAAAAGTAGTTGGTATTTATAGAATGACGTCACCTACGCTACTGGTACGTGATTTAGATATAATCAAACATATCATGATCAAGGACTTCGATGCCTTTACTGATCGTGGGCTGGACTTCAGTAACCGAGGTTTAGGACAAAACTTATTCTTTGCTGATGGAGAAACATGGGCAGCTTTAAGGAGTCGGTTTACCCCAATTTTTACAACCGGTAAATTAAAAAATATGTTTTATTTGATAAATGAAGGCGCCAATAATTTTGTGGATTATGTTAGCACTGAATGCCAAGTGAAAGAAGATTTTGAAGTGGTCTCCCTTCTTCAAACATACACGTTATCTACGATCTCATCCTGTGCCTTCGGAATTAGTTATGATAGTCTAAATGATAAAGTAGAGACACTAAAAATTGTTGACAAAATACTTGCAAGACCCAGTCATGCACTTGAATTAGATATGCTGTATCCAGGACTTTTAAAATCGCTTAACCTGTCCATTTTTCCAAGAGAAGTACAACAATTTTTCAAAAATCTTGTGGATCTCATAATTACCCAGAGGAATGGGAAACCTTCGAACAGGAACGACTTCATGGACTTAATACTAGAACTTCGTGAAATGGGAGAAATAAATAGCACGAAACATGGAAACACTGCGAAGCCAATTGAAATAACTCCAGAAGTAATGGCGTCACAAGCTTTTACGTTTTACGTAGCTGGCTATGAAACCAGTGCTACTACAATGTCGTACATGCTTTACCAACTAGCAATGAATCCAGACATTCAAAATAAGTTAACGGCAGAAGTTGACAAAATAACCCAAGCGAATAATGGAGAAATAACATACGAAACCATTAAGGAAATGAAATATCTGAGCAAAGTCTTTGATGAAACTCTGCGAATGTACTCGATTGTGGAACCTCTGCAGAGAAAAGCTACAAGAGACTACCAGGTACCTGGAACTGACCTGGTAATAGAAAAAAACACGATGGTACTCGTATCCCCGAGAGGTATACACTATGATAAGAAATATTACGATGATCCTGAAGTATTCAACCCTGACAGATTTGACCCAGAGGTAGCGGGCAACCGCCATCCGTGCGCTTACTTACCGTTTGGAATTGGACAACGAAATTGTATCGGTAAGTATAATACAAACTTAATAAGAATTTGAAATGGGCTTTCTGGAGATAGGTTTTATGATAAAATGCTATACCTATTGTTGCGAACGAAAATTTGTAGTTCTATATGTATAACATATCAAAATTCCCTACTTCTAATTGACCTTATAGAATAATATTAATTAATGGAAACATGATATGACATCATATCCAATTTTTCTATCCCACGAAATAAAAAATACTGTTCTTTTCAAGGTATTCGGTTTGGGAAGCTGCAGTCTCAGCTGTGTATAGCGAAGATTTTATCTAAATTTGAAGTGGAACCTTCGAAGAATACACCGAAGAAGTTAGAAGTTGAACCAGACAGGGTTCTCATTGGACCAAAAGGGGGAATACGTCTGAAATTAGTGCCAAGAAAAATTAAGACGTAGATCAAAGAAGACATAAGATCGATTTTTAAGCCTGCTTCATATGGCGGATGGTTACAAGAGCATCTGTCGAGCATGGGGTTTCGGGCTAAATTTTCCAAGCTAAGAAAATTATTATTGGGACTTTAAAAATCCGATATGATCAGTAATAGTACAGATCCTGACTTCGGCCTTGACTTATTATTACCATAGACCATAGACTATATTCTTGATTATGGCTAGAGACTCGTCCGTAACTGGCAAAAGGTGAAGGTTAAAATCTAATTCGAATTCAAAGAATTACTATACTGTAATATTGTGTACCTATATTTCTTTATATATAGCTTACGGCACAATATATAAGTGTTTATAAATAATAATAAACAAATCGTTTTGTTAAAAATACAAAGTGAAATTAAGAAAATGTTTATTTTGAATTAAGAAATTACTATTAGAACAAACAACTAAAATTAGAATAATAAAATAAGCTAAATAATCTAATAACCTTTTGAAAGTTGTATTCTTAGAAAAAAGTATTAGTATCTATTTTTATACTTTGACAAAACCTGTGAATAATTTCGCATTTTTGTTCATTGATATTACTTAGTTTTTAGTATACCTATGTATGGTATTTCTGCTTACATTAATATTAAGTTCTGTTAAACTAACTCATATTCTAAGCTAATACAATAAATAACAGTAGTTTAATAACTTATGAAGTTTGTATAACAATAAAAGAGTGTTGTAATACATAGTCTATTATTTTTCTTTAAAATAATTTAAATATTATTACACTGTCTATTGAAGTTCTAACTGCATTCCTGTGTCAGATGATCTGATGCCGAACACAACTAAAGAGCAGGCAACGAAAGATATGATTCGTCGTCCAGCAACAAAATGATTGCAAACAAAGTGATTAAAGTGTCGCGTAGTAGCAGAACGTTACATAAAAAGATAATTACGAATGTCACGAAGATTCAAAACCTCATTAAAATCAACAAGTCTTCGCCATTTGCTTCAAACAGCGAGTAGGTAATATCACGTAATACAAAGCTATTATCTCTGAACTGTAGTTAATTTTAAACAAACTTGGTGATAACGCACTCACACTGATAACATTATATCAAAATATTAACACTATCATAATCAAATGTATCTCTTCGTATATAAAGTGATGTAACACATAACACATTATTCACTAATTGTGTTAAGAGCTTCAAACATGTCGTTCCTTTATATTGCTGCCGGATTAAGCGCATTAGTTTACGCGTTGTACTATTACTTCACAAGAACATTCAACTACTGGAAGAGCAGAAATGTTCCCGGACCGGAACCAATCCCGTTCTTCGGGAACATCAAGGAATCAGTTCTGCGGCAGAAGAATATGGGCATCATAATACATGACATCTATAAGGCCTATCCAAACGAGAAAGTGGTTGGACTTTTTAGAATGACTTCTCCTTGCCTCCTCATCCGAGACTTGGACATTATTAAACATATCATGATCAAAGACTTCGAAGTATTCACTGACCGTGGAGTGGACTTCAGCAAACAAGGATTGGGCCAAAACCTGTTCCACGCTGATGGAGAAACATGGACAGCTTTGAGAAATAGATTCAGTCCCATTTTTACAACAGGTAAATTGAAAAACATGTTTTACTTAATGAATGAAGGAGCTGACTCATTTGTGGACTACGTTACTACAGAATGTCAAAAAAGACAAGAGTTTGAAGTGCACCTTCTCCTGCAATCGTATACTGTATCTACTATTTCCGCCTGTGCTTTTGGAGTTAGCTATGACAGCCTCCAAGACAAAATGGAAGCCTTGAAAATTGTAGATCAAGTTATTTCATCACCGAGTTACATCGTCGAGTTAGACTTTATGTACCCAGGACTCTTACGATCACTTAACCTTTCTCTTTTCCCGAAAGTGGTACTGCATTTCTTCGAAAATCTTGTTGACAATATTATTTCTCAGAGGAATGGTAAACCATCAGGACGAAATGATTTTATGGACCTCATTCTAGAACTTCGTCAAAAGGGAGAAGTAGAAAGTACGAAATACGGACACAGTGGCAAGACTCTAGAAATAACATCAGACGTGATTGCGGCGCAAGCTTTTGTATTTTATGTGGCTGGGTACGAGACTAGTGCAACCACTATGGGCTACATGTTGTACCAACTAGCGTTGAATCCAGATATCCAAAAGAGGTTGACCGAGGAAATTGATGAATCACTCAAAGCAAACAACGGGCAAGTAACATACGACACTATTAAAGAAATGAAGTACTTAAACAAAGTATTTGATGAAACTCTACGAATGTACTCGATTGTGGAACCTCTGCAGAGGAAAGCTGTAAGAGAATACAAAGTGCCCGGTACTGACTTGACAATAGAAAAGGACACGATAGTACTTATATCTCCGAGAGGCATTCACTATGATGAGAAATATTACGACAATCCTGAAGTATTCAACCCTGACAGGTTTGACCCGGAGGTGGCGGGCAACCGCCATCCGTGCGCCTACTTACCATTTGGAATTGGACAACGAAACTGTATCGGTAAGTAATTTATTCGAGAGCTGGTTACTTTCTTGTTTTTTTTATGGTATAAGCCGGTAAACGGGCAGACGGATCACCTGATGGTAAGCAATCGGCGTCGCCCATGGACACCTGGAACACCAGAGTTGTTACAAGTGCGTTACCGGCCTTTTGGGGATTAGGAGTTTAAGGATCGTTGGGGATTCAGGGATTGAGGAGATTGGTAAAGAAGAGGGTAATTGGGCCTCCGGTAACCTCACTCACACGACGAAACACAACGCAAGCGTTGCTTTACGTCGGTTTTCTGTGAGGCCGTGGTATCACTCCGGTCGAGCCGGCCCATTCGTGCCGAAGCATGGGTCTCCCACACTTAAAATTCATGTATACTTATTCTTGAATATTAGAATCAAACTTTTAAATCGAAGATTATTATGGTCACTGTAATATCTTTCAGATGCCAATTTGTTAGTGAAATTACTCACAAAAAAATATTATCTATATTTTCAGGTATGCGGTTTGGCAGACTTCAATCTCAATTATGTATAACGAAGCTGTTGTCCAAGTTCCAAGTAGAGCCGTCTAAGAATACCGCCAGAAATTTGGAGGTGGAACCTCACCGCGGTATCATCGGGCCAAAGGGAGGAATAAAATTGAATGTTGTTCCAAGAAAGATAAAATCTTAAAAAGTTATTGGATTCCAACCGGAAAATATGATGAAACCCTACATAAATAAAATTAAAGAAGAAAAACCAAAATATATCCAGAATCGTGTCTGTATAAAAAAAAATGTGTATAGGACTAGTATAACGGTTTGAAGTCAGTCTTACAATTTAATTCTAAAATCGTTAGTGCTTGAAGTGAAAGATATAAAGTAAAACTAAACTAAATAACAAAATTCAGAAAAAATATTGCATCTCTAGTTAGATGAACCACGATTTTGTAAAGTGATTATATTGAGACGAAACACCGTAATAAACCCAGAAAACGCAGTCTTCTTTTGACGTGTAAGCATTCTTATGAAAATTAAAGCATTTTTTTAAGTATATAGTACTATAGTAGTATGTAGTAGTATATGCTTGGAAATACCTATGTCTTGATTGCCTATCAGTGATGAATACTAAAATACCTATGTACTACAGAAAAACAAAGAGCTACCACAAGTCATTATTACGTTAAGTGTCGTTATCAAAAAAGATGTATATTGTATGTAATGATCCGAGCAGATTATGAGACTGACAACGTGAAAAGATAAGTCGATAAGTTTGTAACATTGTACGAGGTACGTATAGAAAAGAACCGAAACAATATTATATAATCGTTGATTGTTTAATGTTCTGATTATAATGTATGTGTATGATACTATTAGACTAATGGTACTTTACTGGTTTAAGAAAAAAATTACCTTATGCCATAAACTTTATGTTTCAAATTCCAAAGAAACCATTGCAGCTATTGTAAATATTTAGTTTTTAACTTTTGTGATGGTATATGTCTAAATTGTTTATTATAAATTATGTAATAAAAGTTATACAAAAAGGATTTTATTTGTATATGAAATATCCTTGACCACCTTGTTGATCAGATAGAATTGGGAAGGGGCAATGCTGAGTTGGTCTGAAATATGAGATAAGGTCTCCACAGCTATTTAGTACACAGGTACGAAAGTAAGATTGATTCGATACAAGACTGTACCTACATAGGTAGGTCAAGTAAATAAGCGCCAAATTCAAGCCAAGCAAAAGACCTTGCCAGTCTTTTTTTATTTTAAATGGACAGTAGGTACAACCATGAAAACACGGTTTGTTTTCATGGTTGTACTTCAGTGTTCCGACACTGAAGTCCGGCGCGTCCCACCACATGAATAACTGTCTTGGTTCCCGCACCGAAGTGAATAAAACGATAATTTCCACTTCCCTCGGTGAATTACTGCAGGTGACAGAATGAATTAAGCTTAAAGGCACAAAAAAGAGACTGTACAACTGGGTGAAACCCAGTCGCCAAGCACCACGGAAATTTGAGTAAAAACTAAGTGGGTCCGTCCATATTGCCAAAGATCACACTTCCAGTGTATGTGATGGGCGGACTGCTCGTATTGCAACTTCGCTGGACCTTGTCAGTCTTGGGGATTTACATGTAGCACTGAGCGTTCATCATCATCATCATCAACAGCCTATAAATGCCCACTGCTGAGCAAAGCCTCTTCTCACACGGAGAAGGTTTGAGCATTAATCGCCACGCTTGCTCAATGCGGATTGGCGATTACAAACTTATAATTAGAAATTACAAGCTTAGGTTTCCTCACGATGTTTTTCTTCACCGTTTGTCAGTGGTGTCTAGATAATCTCAGAAAGTATATGTAACACAGTCACATTGGTACTTGCCGTTGGTAGGTTTTGAACCCGCACCCTCATGCATGAGAAGCGGGCGTCTTAAACCTTCGGGCCACCAAGACCTTTTTTACTGAGCGTTAGATATTTCTATTTATTTTCAGTTATGATTTTTATATTGTTCTTGAGCACTATCTCCCCTGATGGTAAGCGATCATGCAGCCAATGATGAAGCAGACCAATAAGCTACCTTTTTGACGAATTTCGATTGCTCGGTTGGTGCGGTGGCTGGACAACCGACTGCCGCACAACGTGTAGTGGGTTTGATTCCCGCACGGAACATGACAACAATTTGTGTGATCCGCAAATTGTTATTTCGGAACTTGGTGCCATGTGTATGTGAACTTATATTTTTGTAAACGCACCCACGACACAGGAGAAAATCCTAGTGTGCGGCAACGATTTAAAAAAAATTAAGAACGCCCAAGTTACAAGAATCTTCAGGAAACATAGAAATCTGTTATCACTTTCACGTTATCCAGCTTCTGTGCCAATCATGCAGTTTCAGTAGGTTCGAGTCCAATGTGTCTCACTCGGTTTTTACAACTGATTCATTTGTATCAAATTTTTTTAATTATTTTCATTCATACATAACATCACGCCTTTTATCCCCGAAGGGATAGGCAGAGGTGCACATTACGGCACTTAATGCCACTGTACAATGTTATTATTTATTTTATTTATTAAAAGCACATCAACAGTATACATATTACACACTAGACATAACACAGTTGAATAAAAAATCTGATATGCATACCAGTGACAGATATACACAACACTCACGAAATCACAAATTCCATGTATAGTAATATTAAGAAAGACAAATAATAATAAATTAATAATAATAAAAAAAAATATTTTTCCATCATATTATACAAAAAAAATTCAAAAATAAAACAACAATAATAATTTCAAGCAATCTAACACAAGTTCCATTTTTTTATAATCATATTAGCATTACGTAAATAAAAACATGTTAAAACGACAACATGGCGCTGGTAAATGGTGATTGTATATACCTTGCACACTCTGCTTAACTCTAGGCGGAAAACAGTAATCGTGATAAAAATTATCTAGTGATACCATGCATCAAAACTGATAAAATAATTTTAACACCATATTAACATTATCATGACAATGAAAAAATCTCGTTAAAGGATGTTTCTAACTCCAAAGCCTAACACCCGCAGCTTTGCCTGCATATTCCTGTTTTGTTCCATGGGAGCATTTAATCGGGATAAAAGATCCTCTAACCGGCCACCTAAGTAAGCCCATACCCTGCCTGTATACTAAATTTCATCAAAATCCGTTCAGTAGTTTCCGCGTGGTTGACGGACAAACGTCCGGACAAAGAAACTTTCACATATTTATAATATAAGTGTGATTTTTTTTTCGTACTTTCCTATTACAGAAAGAAAAATAGTTATGTATAGTTTCCCGCAACTTCGTCCGCGTATACTATGAATTTTAGAACATATATTCTTTTTCAATTTTCCAAAAGTAAATTAGGCTAATTTTAGTAGCCTAATTTACTCAGTACATAGGCTACCTGCCAATAGTCTTATAAATATATAAATATATAAGTCTTACAAAATCGGTCCAACCATTCCAGAGATTAACCACTACAGACAGACAGACAAAAATTGTACAAAATCTTATTTTAGTATGTGGATTGTATGTATAAGTATTCATATGCATGTAGTAAAAAAACGGTTATTTTAATATTACAAACAGGCGCTCCAATTTTATTTATCTGTATAAATAAGTAAAAACTTTTAATGAATTTGAAAGGTAAAAACAAGGGATGCACGGTTACAAGTATTTGTATATAATATTAATATTACGCACAAACCTTCCTTGATAATCACTCTACCTATTTTAGGAAACCGCATGTAGATCCATTGCGTAGTTTTAAAGATAGACAGACAGAAAAAGTGACTTTGTTTTATATTACGTAGTGATAGTAGTAATCTGACATCACGAAATTAACTAATCAATGAAATATTCTTCCAATTATATCATGTCCAAAATCGCTGAGTCATCTGAAGTCAGCAAGCAAGACTTTGCCCAGATACAACACACAGTCAGATTTGTTTACATTTCAGACTCAAATTTCCATTAGCTTATGTATATGAACAAATGTTTGTCTGTCTTAGTGTGGGAGAGCCATGCTTCGGCACGAATGGGCCGGCTTGACCGGAGTGATACCACGGCCTCACAGAAGACCGACGTGAAACAAAGATGCGTTGTGTTTCGTCGTGTGAAAATGAATAGAAAATAACATTACCTTTATCAATTTGTATAGTGTTATTAATTTTGTTTTCAATTTTTTTTTAAACTGCTTGTACTAATGTTTTTATCTGCTAAGCACAAAAACTGTTTGTAAATAAGTTAAGCTTGTCTATGTGAATGCATGACGCATGCATTTATGTACAAATGCATCGCACCTTTGTAAGGGCGCGCGGTAATACCAACGGCATTCTAAACACGTTATTTACAATGATATAGCGACAGCTTTTAGACAATGTCTGGTAGAATATCCAGACATATAAATAGGTAAATTATATCTTGACTGTGGACTTCATTTGTACACAGTACACATTAAGATCATTCGAACCTATTGTATCTCACTAGTCTATAAATAAAATCAGGATCACCTTTTCATGTTGACAACTGTGGTGATATATATATTTGCTTGTTATATATATTTTATTGTTGTATGACATAGTATGCCCAGTTGGGCATAGATACAGAAAAGTAGCAAATAAGCATGATTATCAAAAATGTTCATTCTTAATATAAAAATTATCAATATGCAAAGTAAATAGTATATATACCACAATATACCACATTATGTACCTACACTACCTAAAAGTTGCCAACTCATTTAGAATTCTTAAGATAACACACACGAGGAGTCGAACAAAATATCGTAACGTGATTATCCTAATCAAGTTTTCGGTTCGTATATAAAATCGTCGAGTTGTTTACAAATCATTCATAAGTGTTCGGTCTGAGTGTTTGGCCAGTCACAACCATGTCGGCCTTATATTTCCTCGCGGCAGTCCCAGTGTTAGCTTACGCTATTTATTATTATTTTACGAGGACATTCAACTATTGGAAGAGTAGAAATGTTGCCGGACCAGAACCAACTGCATTTTTTGGAAATATCAAGGAATCGGTTGTTCGCACAAAAAATATTGGCATTGTAATGCACGACATCTACAATGCATTTCCAAATGAAAAAGTGGTCGGAATGTTCAGGATGACTTCACCTTGTCTCCTTATCCGAGACC